TACTATGTATAATTTACCTAACAACAGGCACACATAGGAAATATATTTGAATACTCTTCGAAGTAATGCTAACATTTTTTTTTATGGTATCTGATTTGGTTCGGTCGAAAGTGCGTCGTACATATTCCTGTGACTCTTCTAAATTGCAACCTGAAAAAAAGTATTTTTCTATTTGAAATCCAAAAATTAGATTTTCTCTACCGCTAGGAACTAAACGAGAACTCAGGCCAGCTATCATACTTTAGAGGGGTTCGCCATTATGACTTCTGCAAAATTGCCGAATTTTTTAAATTGAGGGGCATTTTAATAGCACCGTTGTGTCTTCTCTCACATAACTTCAAATGCGCGCCTTTAGAAATTCAATAGATAGGTAGAGAAAAATATAACACTCAGAAAAATCGCGTTCCGTCATATAATTACCACCAACTGTTTTGTAGTTTTTCCTATAAAGTGCATGTGTATCGTTTTTTCTCCCAAGCATTACGTAAAACTGAAGCGGTACCTGTTTCAGTGTTCTATTCTGGAGGTGGTATTAGAGTGTTTCTGGAATTACAAGTGCTCAGATTTAGTTATTAGGGTATCTGGCTGGCCACATACGATACGCAACAGTTAACAGCAATGCACAAGGCCGACCTACAGCCAGAGTGGTTTCTCCGGCATCGTTTGTCGCTCAAGCTATCTATATATGCATACATCCTCTAGAGAGGGTCTACCTCATTTTTATTAATTACATCTTCATCACTGACTTCCTCTTGGCGATCGGATAGTAAGACCCATCCAGACTCTATCTGGGCTCTCCGTTACGCCACATTTACAAACACTTGAGTGTGTGGGAACATTGAAATATGTTTATCAACGGGGTTAGGTATTGAAATAGGCGACACTGGTCGCCTGTTTTTCCGTATAGAACAGTCAGAATGAATGAGTGAATTTAATTTTTCCTGATGCATTGTTTGTCAGTGTGTCAGTTACAGCAAACGACCGCGGAATAGGCACGTAAACAATGAGATTAGAAGTAATGCATAAACTTTAATCTACAAGGATAACTCACGATATACACAGTGTTGACTTGCTGCTAATTTTCTTACAAATGGTTTAATTGTTGTGACTACAATACGAACCGCAATCGAAGGTTATATATACAACTAGTATATAAAACATACATGTACCCATATATATAACTTTTTTTCTTTCGACTGCGAATTATTCACACTATCTTTTAGCCCATAGCTGTGTTGTTTAGTACATAATATAGCATTGTTATTGCTGGCCTGTCTCATTATCAATTCTGATGCGTCGATCAAGTTTCGGTTTTGTCGAATTCCCTCAGCTCTTTGCTGGTGCTAAACGCTAAATTTTCTAAGAGTTTCTCTAGCCAAGAACATATTCAGGTAGCAAAATTAAAGTGACGCGTACAACTGCCACAGTGTCTCAATATAGATGTCAACCCATATTTGGGTTTACATACTGATAATACACTATTATTTTCGTATGTAATTATCATGTACACCCTAAAGAAATTGGATAACTCTGGATCGGGCATGCTCCAGCATCATAGAATATCGGTTGTTGAGTAAGCAGAAATCCGAACAATCTTCAGTACGAAGTCGGTGGGTTCGTCTTTGTCTGATGTAATAGATAATATTAGAAAGCATGGACAACGTTTGTCTATATTTTAGACCGAATAGGAACGCTGAAATAAATTTATTTTGAAGAAGAAACTTCTTTTCTAATTTCCATCCGATGAATAAGAAGTGCTCTTCGATAATTCCGTACATTGCCAATTGGCAGACTGAAAAAGAAACGACAACAATCGCGTTATTGTTAACTACTCCTGAACCTTTTATTTCGTCCTGGCCAAAGTTGGCATGTTTCGAAATAGCGTTTCTATCCATCAAGTGCTACATTTAATTTAATTGAAGCAAAACGAATTTCGTAGTAAATTTAGAGCTTTCGACAAAGAGATGATTCGGCTTTTCAAGGTATTAATTGAGCTGTTAAATTTGCTTTAGATAGAAGAGGAAGCACGAAGGATTTTATGAAAGTGATGACTAAATGACAAGACTATGTAATATAAGATATAAGAAGGTTTCCGTATTAAGCTTTTTTATTTAGCAGAGGACTTTCAATAAAGAAAAGTTTATAAATAACATACCCTACTGTCACTAGCCAAAGTGTTATTTGATCGAAAATATTGGCTCCAGCTGAAATTCAGATTCGGTAAAGCAGTACTTTTGTAATGTTGTCTAGGAAATTTTCAATGCGATGAGTGAGAGGTTGCATTTTCAACGAAATCTACTCCACCTCTGGCTTAACCACTGAACTTGAGCTTCCCGCTCAGCATTAACATTGATTGTACATATGGAGATGACCTTACATGAAACATGTATTAATTATAATTTTTCATCTCTTTATATGTAACAGTTGGCATTGAATATACGTATGATGTTCGGAGAGGTGATAAATTTTCAGTTCATTATATATAAATATTTACATAGTCTTAGCACTTGTATGAGTGCCTATATATATTTTGCCTATTCAGTCATGCCTATATAGCCTATACGCGTTTTACTGGGAGCGCATACCAGCTGCGGGCTTAATTTATGTTCGCATAGGACCGAACCTTTTTTAAAGTTAAAATTTTTCTGTGCGCACCACCATAGCTTGAAATTGAATGTCAGCTTTCCTTTAGCATGTAAAAAAGTAATTCATTCAAATGTGAAAATGCATGTGTACTTGCTTACAATCCCCCTATGGGCTAATTCAACGCTGAACTTCCATGTGGCCATTTCGTCTAACAGCTTTTCTAACTCGATGGCTTCTAGTGCAGGATCTCGTACTCACCAGATTTATTATTTGCTTTTGTTCTAAAAATTAGACACATGTGACAGTAAGACAATAGGCTGTATAATCACTATTGGAAAGCTAATTGCTTACCCCTGTTTCGGCGGAAATGGCTGCCATAAGGAAGTTCATTGTTTCAGGTATTTAACCACGCATACGGAGAGCAAAACAATGAATTCATGTGCATTTTAAGCGTCTCGCTAGCATCAGTTCAAGCGAATAATGAACCTAAAGCAGTCTTTATAGAATTAAAGAAGTAGCACCTGCGAGTAACGGTTAAAAAGATTTAGTCGGTGATGATAGTTATTAAACGGACCATTTTCAGTAATCACAATTGGCTGAGAAAACAAAAACCAAATGAGTTGAACAACAGAGAAAAAAATGTACAGTTACAGGTTCGTTTAGGTGCTTCTATTACTCGGGCATAATGCTGAAACTGGAGTTTGTTAAAGAGGCGCATGGGGGCAGTTCAGTTGTAATAGAAGCTAAAGTGTAAGCAACGTGTGTGAATTCGGAAGTTGTTATGCCGTGTACCCTTTTTGTGTCACCAGAGAGAAGGCTCAAATGAGCAATAACTTGCAAACGAAAGGACAAGGGCTAAGTTTGACAACTGAGTGTTAGTATTCAAACCTATTTGTTCAGTTTTCTATCTGTTGCTGCGTATCTTTCCATCTTTCGCACCGACCTTGATTGCTGATTAGTGGCCCTTTTCCGTCTCTTGTCATTGAACGTGTGAGCCGTCGCCTACGAGTCCAATGCCTTTAGCCGACTTCTACTAAATAAACGGTAGACGAACACTTGTGGCGACAGCCTGAATGGTCCATCGGGACTCGTATTAGAACCCGAACACTTCTCGATATTCCCCTGCCACAAAGGTCACAGGACCGCAAGAGCAAGATGATAAAAAAGAGTCGAACTACGAAACGAATCCCGAGAAGGAATTTCCTTCTAACAACGTTTCACGGCAAGACTTAAATGGTAGAATGAAAAGGCCACTGTGCCATACATATAGAATAGGTAGCCTTTCGGTAGAATGCGCAGCCTCCTAGGCGTAGTCTCCTTCCGGACAAAAATGTGGCGAACGCATTTTAGCCTTAACCGAGACTTGAGATGATTGCGAGAATGAACGAGAATACCTTACAGATACAATCAGATAGTACATGTACGTATATATATTATATATTTGTTCGGTGGTCTGAGTTGTTTGCGACGTTTCCGCGATATACCAAGTTTATAATGGGCTTTGATATAGAGGCAAAAAATTTACATAGCAGAGTTACTCTATTGATAATGGTCCCACTCTGTAAATTTGATGTAAACATTCCGAGATACTGATTCCTAGACATATATCGCCTCTTATTATGTCACATAATTCCTCCACGTCTAAGATGTGCTGCACTAATCAGTAAGTACATGTGCTCCAAGCGACATGTATCCAATGTTGGATCTACGTAAATGTTGCACCTATGATAATCAACGGCGTAGTTACACCCAAAATACATTCAGCACTAAACGGACGCATCTTTTAACAAGCACTGCTTCTTATTGAGACAAACATAGGCAGTGCTTTTGTGCGCCTGCGTTGAAAGTATTAGGCTTTCCATTTTTTCATCGCATGGTCGGCCATATCTACTACTTCTCGGTAGAGTGCCAAAGCTAGCAAAATAAGGTTTTTCTTGATTTTGTCAACCTTTCAATAAAATATTTTTTCTAAGAAAATGCTGGTGAGTAGAACTTTTATACAGTATGCAAATGTTTCGAGATGAATACGGCAAATACATCAGTTATTGCTATTCCAGTATTTTAAAGCACCTGATAGACGTTAAGAAAAGAATAATACACACAGCTTTTTACGTGGACATACGAACGGAAATAGTGTTAGAACAAAGGGAATTTTTTGCTATACAGAATTAGTAGAAGTAGCTTGTACCTTTGTCCGTAAAACGAGTACCAGCACGGTTTAACGCTGTACTCTTTTTATTTGAAAAATATTTGTTTCTCCATAAGAGACGCAATAAATATTTTGCAAATGATGCATTTTTATTTATTGCCTATCCTTAGTGTCTCTGTAATATAGTAAATCCCCTCTTTATGTAATTTATTAAATACATAATGCATACAAATAAAAACATACAAATAACAAAAAGTTATTACCGGTTTACACTCAGTCAAATAAGCCAGCACTCAATTTTGTTTAATAAGATGAGTTCATTAGCTAGCGTATACATTTTGTATATTTTGCATAGAACTATACATTTTGAAACCATTAAGCTAGAACCACTAAGGTTTTCTTTTTTTGAACTTTGATTGCTACAGATTATGAGGAAATCCGTATCCCATTTTCTTGCTTGTTGATATTTTGAACAGCTGTATAACTCATTCATCCAGTTGAGCCGCCGATACAGTCATCGTGTGAAGTTCGTGTGTTCTAAACAAACTGGCATGAACCTTTGTGAAAGAAGGTAAAATTCACGAACTTGGTGCACTTAGCGGATATTTGAAAGCATCGAACTTTTCATGTCGAGCTTGCCATCTTATTACAAGCTGACCCTTCGGTAGCTGACCTGGTTAAAACACTGTTGGATTCTTTTGAGTCGTCCAACCGAGATCGTTTCGAACGCCAAAGCTAGATATCAGCTAGACCAGAGGGTCGTGCCTAATTAAAGTGCACAGTCAGTAGTTTTTTTTTACCTACAGAATAAACCTTTGCTATTTTATCTTAATAAATGGTTATTGGCTACAACACTATACGCAAGCGGTGCGTAATCTGATTGTGAAGTTCAACCCTCTGGAGTAAACTCGTTGCGCCAAATTTATATGAGAACATGGCACTGGACAGTGGCGCGCTATGTCGTTACTGATTTTAACTGCAAATGTTGCTCGATAACTGACTCGCAGTAGCCTCTGATTATATTGACATCGCTGCAACACAATAATTTTAATACTGAATTGTTACAACACATACGAATATCTTTTAGAAGTGAGTATCGTAAATACATTATTCAATTTTTTTCAATTGTAGCTAGTCGAAATGATGGAAAGACCTCGCGTATTGAGACCCGGCGAGAAGTTACCACCCAACTGTAGACTTCTACTCGGCGATGAGCTGGACACATTCCTAAATAAAGCAATTGCTGAGTATAAACCTTCGAAAGATATGATTCCACTGAAGTACGCCGCAATTCCTATGGGGCTCACGGCAGGAGTGTGCGCGTTCGCTGTGACTACCACATTTCGAAGATTCTTTAAACTCGGGAGCTTTGCACAGAAGACGTGTTACGCTGCTGTTATATTCCCGGCGAGCACAACAAGCGTAATAATGCATTCTAACACTACTAAGGACATCATTCATAGGGAGACGAAATGCCCCGTGTGTGTACAGACCCGTGCAATGTCATTTCAGGCATTATTCGGTGCACTCTATCCGGCCATTGTGGCGCCTATCATTTGCGCGTCGTTCTCCGTCCCTCGGGCCCTCGCGCCAAGTTTTTTGCTCAAGGAGAACGTCATCGCCATATTGAGACATATGCAGAAGAAACCTAAGGTATACATTTGGTCGATTCTAGCCAACGCTGTAGTAGGGGGTGTATGGACACATCTGGAGCAGAACGCCTCATGGAAGTTGCATGTAAAGCTTTCTGGTGAACATCCAGCGGAAAAAAAAAAAAAACAGCAAAATAGTGGAGTAATTATGTCACAAGACAACGGCACGTCATTTACTGCCTAATTATTATTATGAAAAAAAAAGATCAATCAGTATGATGTCCAGACGCTAATCGCTGTAGAAGTGCGGCAAACATTAATAGTTAATTAGGCGGCAAGTGTTTTACAAATAGACAAAAAGGGCAATAAACGTTTTCTCGTTTCAGTTGCGTTTTCAATTAGCACTCTGACCCAATATAGCTTAAAGATTGTTCTAATAGGGCAATAAAAGAAGATGCGATGCCTTTTATTATATCATTCAAAGAATAGCGTATTTTCAAACAACAGGTGTTGCTAAAATTAAAATTCTTTTTTAAAAAGATCAATAAACAAATAAAAAGCTAATCAAAGTACAAAGCTCGTCGTAACAACACAGCCTTCAAGTTGAGAGTTTTGATTTCTATGTCTCCTATTGCTGCTAAAATCTACTTAGTCTTATGCCGTGGTTTCGTGTCAAATGAAAATAATTTTAACAGAATTAAAACACACAGCTTCCAATAAAAATTTGAATTTAGTATGAAAAGCTCAGAAAAGTTAAAATATAAGAAAAAGCAATATACCGTGCCTTATGAACTGCATACTTACTGAAAAACAAATTTAGCAATCGTTACGAATTAACTTCTAGCTCGTATGGTGAAGATGACGAAGGAGCGCGTTGTGAGGTGTACTAACCTCCGCCAGAAACTGAGCGATTCCTGATTAGACAATTTGCGATTGAGCTATGTTTCCTTTTTTGGATCATGACATATGTTTTCATTCCCTCTGTTAAAGTCTTTTGTTTTTGTCAACTAGATAGCTAAGAAAACTTGCCTCAGAACTGCTTAGCTTTATGATAGAGTAATACCTATGTGCGACTTCGGTTGTAAAATTCGAAGCACTTTTGATTAACGGTAATAGATGGGCACAAATTAATTCCGATAGAAACTACTCAGATCTAGTGATTTATGATAATTATCCATACCTATTTTCACGCATCTCCCAAACTGTTGAAAGTACGTTACTAACGAACTCTTAACGGTCGCATGTTCTAATGACGCTAGGGTTAGGTTGGGCCTCGACGCTTTGGTTAAGCCCTTCCACGCTATTCTTTTTCACCATTTTTTTTTTATCTAACAACACAAGTAATCTTTTTTTACGTATGTAAACCTCTTCATTAATAGCACAACATATTATTAATTTAATCATATAGCGACACTAATGCTAATTATTAGTGAGGATTATGGAATATACGCCTGAAATGAGAAAGGTCTAAGTTGCTTGTCTATTGGATGATGCAGAGTACAATGTACAGTATTTACGTGATGCAAACGATGGCCAATTTTCTATGCTTTATTTCCCGTTTATGACATCAAATAAATTTGCTATACTGTTTACGTCAAAAATTTCTGTCGTTTTTGATTTTTCACCGATTTTTTCATCCGCATTGTATCAGCCTAAACTACGGATTTTTTTATCCCAGTGACTGACACTGTTCTCGTCAGGCTTCATTTCTATAATAATAATAATATTATTACTAATAATCAGTAATATTACTTCCTTCCTTCCACATGACAAGAATAATCGTTAGCCCGCCTCCTTTTAAACGCGTAGTATTATGTCGTGCTAGACTATCTGTAAAGTTAAGCTCATATCCGCTCTTTAGTTTCCAGCAGTACAATAGAGTTTCCACGTACGACGACCATTCCGATGGGAATTTTCTGTCCATTCTTAAGTTCCTCGGCCTCATCTGGAACAGATACAAATACAGATAAATAAAATTAAATAAGAAGTTAAAAATTTGTTCTTTCATGAGCTTACCTCAAAATCATTAATATAGAACACACATGTTACGTCAATACAAATGGTAACAGTGATTCAACAAACGCTTCTGTATATGTTTGAAAGCAAACGACATCATATTTTTTCTTGCGTACAACGTAAGACCTCACACATATAAAACATCTGCGTTCGGCTGCCAGACTTTTACCGCTATGTTCTGTACAAGGTACACCAGTAAATACCTAAGACAGTATAGTGAAAATAGACAAAAAATAATGCACGTCCTATGCAAGCCCTCACATGTTCAACTACTACGCATCTGCACATTTTAAAAAAATTAGCAGTCAAAAAATAAGGCGGCGGTCAAAACGTTTAGGACTATGCCGTAGATTAATTTCAAAACCAACCACATAGACAATATATTGAACTTCTAAAAGGAGACAACAAGCGATGAGAAAGACATTTCAGCTACAAGCTAAACTTCAATTAATAACTCACGGCAGCTTACCAAGGACGATGTTCATGAAAGGATCAAACCCTCGTAACACGCCGCTAACGACGCGCGACCCGTTAAGTCGAAGGGACAAAGTCTTGTCCATATACTTTTTCAGTTCGGGAGGATGCGCCTTACTCATCTCGACCGCGTATTGCCCGCACTCAATTAGGCGGGGGTCCTACTGAATCGTAGTCACTTCTATTCGTAAACAGGCAGTCGAAGGTGTAATTGTCCAACGAGAACACGGAGCAATTTGGCCGGCATCAAGTAAGTGTTTTCGCCGGTAAAGCCCTAGCAGAACGGATGTTTGTTTACAAACATGCTGTCAACAAAATCATTACGAAATTCGCAAAAAGACCGTTCCGCCAGATAAATACGGAACAGCGAGACAAACGATTGGTGGGCCACATGAGCCGGTGAAAAAAAGAACACATTGCAAATATGACACCTTAGTATTGTAATAAATTAATAATAGTAAATAAGACTTTAATAAAAGGTAATAGATGAAACACTCGTGGATAATTTAGACGAACACGTCGAGTAAAATTATTGGAAATTAATAATGAATCGTAGAGTTGTACGAAAAGTGCTGCCTTTACAAACTGACCTAAAGAAATAGACGACATGCGCATCTTCTTAGACGAAGAACTTGCATTTCTTGTTATAAACACAGATCAGGTTTTGTTAAATATGTAAGGCAGTTTTATATAGATGACTTTTTCTGAATCGAATGTTGTTAGAGAGGGCCATTTACAAACAATATTTTGGAATTTTAAGATAAAAACTTTCTATATTCATGTAAATTGTGTAGGATTTCATATTTGAATTCATATTTTTTAGAGCAACAACTTCTTGGTTCACGAATCTCTGTACATTTTAATATGTAGCACTATCAATGCTTAAACTATAAGCGGAACCTATAGAAAGAATCAGAACCACGACGAGTATGCTATGTAATGAAGAAACCTAACATTAAGGGAGCACGTAAAAATCTATATCAGATAATGAAATCTCTAAAAGAACTATAAACTGAATGATTAGCTTTTTCCATCAGCGTCTGGAGAAGAGATAGAGAGAAGAGAGCCTCATACTAAGCTTTGAAAAATATAAATGACCTACGAAACAAATATAACTTACTAATCGTTTCCAATTTACCTCTAAAGATTGTAAATATGTATGGTATAGCAAATATATCTCGAGACAATCTTATTTTCTCTTGTATTTTACATTGCAAATACAGTTTAGAACAAATTCTGAAAAATTTCTGTTTGAAATTCGCGGGCTAGCTTTGATGTTACTAAACATAGACAAAGACCTTTGCGCTGTATGGCCAGCCGCAGTGGTGCTCGACACCTATTGAATCTGGTAAATTTTGAATTCAGCTGATTGTGGATTATGAGAAACATATGTACTAGGCTTGTGCGTATCGTATGAATGTAAAAGCATTCTTGGTAGCAATTTTTTCTCAGTGGTGACGTACGCGTTTAAAATGTCACTTTCGTCAGGAGCTATTGTACGCCTCTATCTTAAAAACTTTCTAACATATAGTGAAGTAGAATTTAACCCCAGATCGGGCCTGAACATGATTGTGGGACCCAACGGATCAGGTAAAAGCAGCCTTGTTTGCGGAATCTGTCTCGTTCTTGCTGGAAAACCGAACGTCCTTGGAAGGTTAGCCATTTACTTGAAGGTGTGGATAGTATCCACACAGTTTAACATGCTTCTGTTATGGAAAAGAAACTCAAGGTGCAGAATGTCAATCAAGACTTAGTTTTTACAGACGCTGCGAAATCTGCTTTAATTTTTATGTTTTAATTGAATTACAAAGCAACAAATTTTCCGCCAAACCTGCAACAACTTATCATACAACATAATGCAAACTCCCAATTTTTGTTCTGGTTTAATGTATTACAAACCAAACACAATATATCCAATAATCCAACGCTACACAAATACAAATTGTATGAAGTGTATAAATCTGGGTTACATATAAAAGGTAGATTGTATTAACGAGTTCTGTGTTTATTTGTTTGCAGAGCTCCTCATCTTAAAGAATTCATCAAGTTCGGCTGTAGCCATGCAGAACTGGAAATTGAACTCTTTCAACCTCAGGCTAATAAAATAATCAGAAGGACTATTCATGACAGAGGATCGGACTGGAAAATAAATGGAATTCCTTGTTCTCAAAATGAAGTCTGCAAAGAGGTGTCAAAGATGAACATTCAGGTATGGAATGTAAAAACACGCATAGGTATTATTTCTTTTTTCGCAAATCTCATAACGATCGAAATAGCACTCTTACGTATATTGACATTCGATTTTTTATTGGTTGAAGCCATATACAGGCTCACAGTAAGATACTTTTGACGCATACAGTTGAATAAAAAATGTTACTTTCAAGGACATATTTATTCCGTATCATTTTGTAGACTAACGTTTCTTTTCGCATCACTGCTAAGCTTGATTTAAAAACATTTTAAAATTTATCGTTTGTGAACAACTTGAATATATCTTTTTAGGTGGATAATTTATGTCAGTTTTTGCCTCAAGACAGAGTCGCTGATTTTGTGAAGATGACCCCACAAGAGCTGTTGGTTAATACCGAAAATGCCGTGGGCTCAGCAATGCTAATTGAAAACCATGAAAAGCTGAAATCTCTACAGGAAAGTCTTACCTCTCTGAAAAATAAAATCGAATCTACAAAAAACCATCGGGACAAGGAGGTCCAGCTGAATGAACATCTTGAGGCCGAGCTTAAGCAGTTTAAGGATTTTAAAGCGGTGAGTGGGCATTTAGGTGTTTCTGTCGTAACGTTGTAGCTAGGATAGCCTCTTATTTTATGGAAAGCACCGATACCAATAGTGTCTATTATGAATAATGGAAGGCATATCGTTTTGTTCTCTTTCATTAAAAGAAGCCCAGTATTAGCTGCCCATTTTTTATATCCATAAACGACAGAACGAAAATCCCGAACTGATGCGTGGCTAATTATTAATTAAAGTGTATTTGACGAATGGGCATTCTATCGTTTTAAATGGTTCTTAATGACATAAACTCAATTTAATCGCTTTTAGATTCTTCTATTCGCTTTGTTTTATTTACGAACCACTTTTTGAGTGCTCCTTCGGAACACCCGTTCCTCCCATGGATGGAAGTAGCATAACCTTTATGCGACTTCTCAAGTCAGTTAATCAATTAAGTCCGAAATAATTTCCTACACTATACAACTATAATCTATCATATTTATTTTCATCGCCATCAACACCGTAACACACTTAATAAACAAAGAAGAAATAACTCTCCTTAGAATAATGAAATCCTTCATTTCACTTATCTATGTTTATTTGATTTTGCCGTTTGTTTTTAAACCTGTATTAATCAGTATACCATAATATTTTGTTGTTATTTTGTTTTACCTGCTTGTCCTATGAATATGAACAAACTGTAGTTAAATTCAATTGACGAACGTGCAGGCTTCTAAGGCCCCGTGTACAAGATTACATAAGATCCCGTACGGTATATTTTCAATTTTGCACAGCAAGACTGTTACTGGGAGTAAATCTAAACTCACTAGTGCTAAGCCTTACTATAAGTATAGTCCCTTTAACGACCACTTAATTAAAATGTATTGCATATATACAGGCAAAAAAACAACTGGAGTTATACGAAGCAAAGCTAGCATGGCTTAACTACGTTGTGAAACGGGACAATTTCCTTGAGAAAAAGAAGATACTGAACCAAAAAGCTGACGTGGTAGAAAAGCAGCAGGAAGCTCACGCTCGCATCAAAGGAAAGGTCACCCGACTAGAGAACCAGATTAAAGAACTCGATCGGCAAAAAGCACAGTTGGAATTAGCTCTTCGGAGGGTGAAAGAAAAAACGGCTAAAACGCGTGAAGAGGTCCGCATTTCTTACTATAGTCTACTTTGTTATTATTAGATTTTTTTTTAATTCCTAGAGAGATTCAGAAGAAAGCAGACCCATGAAGTGCAACTTTATACAATAGAACGGGTGCTCGTCCGATATGTATTTCGCTTATACAGTTGTTTTTCGTGATTTTTATTTCATCCCTACACTTTCCAGATGGATAAATGCACGGAGCGGATGAATGAGATACAGCACACATTCAAAGAACAACTCGACTGTGAGAAGGAACGAATTGACAAAGAGAAAGTACAACGATCAACCGTTCAAGAGTTGCAGATAAAATATCATGAGGAACTGGACAAACTTCGCGAAGATCGGGTCGAGACTAAACTGCAAGAAGTCAAGCTCAGAATTAGCGGGTAAATAAAAATGTTTGTAATGATTTGATTATTCTACGAACGTAATTTTAGTTTCGGAATAATGTAAGTACCGTCTAAGTAGTTTTAGTATCTTCTAAATAATTCAAGAAAAGAATTCATTTGTCTTTCTAGTAAGCACCGTCTAAATACTCTTAGTACGTTCTAAAGCGGTTGTGAGACATTTTGGCAAGTAAAGCTTCGCTATTTTCAAGTCCATGGCACTGTTGCAGAATCAATCGCCTTTACTAAAAAGGCTAAAATGGCTGTGATAAATTTGTCAAGAATTCATAATAGACTCTAAAACCGATACATGCTCAATACCAGTGGGATAATTACATAGTGAACTCCCGTTTACACATACTCCGTTTTATTATGTCCACAGATTGAACAAGGAGTTAAATAAACTGAATGCTACAATGCAAGAAAGGCAGCAGCTGGTTCGCTCGATTGAGCAAGAAATACAGGAATACGAGGAGAGGCATCGGACTCTGGCTCTAAAAGCTGACCCCCGAATGGAGATGCTCGAAAAAATTAAACCCCAAGTATATAAAGCGTGCAGCTGGCTAGAGCAAAATAGGAATCTATTTCAAGTAATTTCCCTTGAAAAGCGCTTTTTAAATCTTTCTCGTTTTTCCAACTATGTAGTATAGCTTCTTAAAGGGATCGCCGTTCTTATTCAGTCTGTCTCATATTCAGGTGATTTTATATTCGGAATTTTAACCTGCTGATACTTAAAGGTTATTATTTTATCTTACTTTTTTCACCAGGCTGATGAGTCATCATATTACTACCGTAGCGTATCTGATACCATTACATCCCTAATCGGTTAAGCTCAAAAACTGTGTATACTATAAAGAATTGTACTTTAATAAGTATCTCTGTTTATTTACAGGAGCATATTCACAAACCTGTAGCGGCTGAATTGACGATTTCGAACGAGCGTCAAGCCCGGTACCTCGAAGTGATCCTAGGTTCGGACAGTCTTTTCAGTTTTGTTGCCGAAAACCCCGATGATATGGAGTTATTTGTGAAAGAGGCGAGGCGCAGAAACTGGAAGATCAATATTGGTACTGCACCTAGGGGAGGACGAATGAAATTTGCAAACCCTGTACCCAAAGAGCAGATCAAGGAATTCGGTGTTGAAGGTTATGTGTCCGATCTTTGCGAGTAAGTGTCACATACACAGGCTCTCTAATGTAATTTGGCTATATATATCAGATACATTTGTATCGGGCAATTAAAAAAAACGAGCCTGAAAACTGGGCTGTGTTACATTCGCATCCTAGCACAAAAACAGAAGTATAATTTGACTGTTTTTGAAGGGAAAATTTGCTGGTTTGATATTGATAAAGACCTCAGCGCAATTAGGGTGAGTGTATATATGCATGAGCAAAGTGAACACTTCAAAATGATTTCATGGCGTGTTGCCGGAGCCCTAAAGCCATCATTTGATTTTAGATTATCATCGTATATAATTAGTGGGATCACCTCCTTATGTATGCAAATAATATAGCTGAATTGAATAAGTCCTTTTCCTTTGATTCAATTACAGCATCATTGGTTAGCCGACCATGTGTTCATCTGAAATTATAATATTAAGCAAACTATTTCTCATGCACAGAAATTTGATAATTTATATGATTATATATCTCCGCTCATATTTTTTTCATAAGATTTATTTTGTGCTGGTCTTTTTTCGGTGGCAGGGCTTCCGATGCAGTATTTGCATTTTTATGCGGTCTTCATAATCTACACCGTGTTCCGTTTGGAGGCGACATCCTGGAGGATCATATCTACGGGCTTCTGAGTAAATATCAATTGAATCGTGCCATCGCAGGAAGCTCTTTGGTGAACCTCGTGAAGTCTGAGTACTCGACCGATTTAACTCGAATCTCAAAAAGTATTCCTAAAAACAAAGTTCTCATCGTGTTCTCGAATAGGTGTGTTCTGTTCAAGGGCTATAACGTTTTAAAACTGACGGCCCTTATAATGCGCAACATCGCGCATGGTGCAGTGTAGATTTTAATGTACGATGTGGTACCACGAATAGTCATTATGTTGATGCTGACCCATTGATATGCGTATCCTTCTAGTATTTGTTCCGCCATAAGTTTTGGTTATTGTGAATACCAAATTATGACATCTGTCTTTTATACATAGTTTGGTTCAAGTAATTATGCACCAATCATTTTATTTTCTGACATCGTTACGGTTTCACTTATTAGAGAGGAACTGCAACAGGTGACTGAGCGTTTAAAACAGCTGAAACAGCAGAAGGAACGATCAATTGGAGACTACAATAAGTTAAAAGAAGAAGTTGAGAATTTGAACAGAATCGCGCAGGGTGTTAAAGACGAGGAAAAAAAGTTACGTCAACGCATGGGGGCTAGCTTAAAGCTTAGAGACACGTTAAATGTAAAGAAGGCTCAACTTCAAAGACTCCAACAGGGTTAGTATGTTTTTCATAAAACAGATTGTTGGTTGGCACATATGACAGTGACAGACTCAGACATAATTCGCGCTTAAACTCAATATTAAGTTTGCAATTAAATAAAACGCCCCCGTAACTGGGAGCACCAGATATACCAAGCGTTTCGAATGTAAAATTCTTAGGTTTTTTTAGATGCTTGCAACTAGTACACATGTTGACTCCCGTAGTAATGTACTATTGATAATTCTAAACTTCGTTATCTATACGCTTGATAAGATCTTTTAAAACTGATTTTCATTCACAATGCTTTATTGTTTAGTTTTGAACGTTGGTTCCATATTGTGCTTTGGTTTATTTCTACTTTGTCGACTGAACGCCAACAACTAATAAACGGCACTTCTGGCATTTCAGAATGGTCAGTTAAATCTATAACAACAAACTGTGTTGGTGATAAATGCAATTTCGTCGTCGCATTAACCTGAGTGTGACAAGAACTTTCTTTTTTTTTTTTGTTTGTTACTTAGTTCCCGGGGATTTGGAAGCTAAAAAAAGACGAGTGGAAGCCTGTCTAAACAACGACTTGGCTTTATTTCGACGAAATACGAAGGAATTGGTAAAGGATGCGGAAGAGGCTTTTGAACAGCTGCAAAAGCTCGGGCTTGTTGTTTGCCAAATCGAGGAAACGCGACAACGAGCCGAAGTATTTAATGATGAGCTACTCTTGGTAAGCATTTTTAGAACAAAGGAAGCCCTTAGAAAATTTCAGCGCAAGTAGCAAAACACCTAACCATATTAAGGTATTTTGTTCTCTTGTAATGAGAATGCTCACAAATATTGAACTCAGATATGGAAAAACATGTTTTACCTCTATAATCATTTCATCGACAAAACCGCAGATATTAACGGATGGTTTTAAATTTTTGGTAGATTGCTTGCCAAAGACCGATGCTGAAGTTACTCCATGCAAAGCATGCGCAGCCGTGCTATTTTCTAAATCATGGATGATCGTCTAATTAATACGTCAGCGCTACTCCTTTTTACCTTAATGGGTCTCACGTACTTCTTTTATCTACAAACCTGAGCGTAACAACCAATACATGTACTCGCAGTACTCTTTTTATTTGTGAAAATGCTTCCATCTGTTTTAGGTGGAGCGAGCTCTGACAGCTGCCAAGGCCGCCTACGATCGCTTAGAAGAATCGACAAAGATTGCCAAACAGGAAGCTCTTCAAATACTAGAACAGGCTAAAAATCTAGTAAGCTTTAAGATTAAGACGAATAAGTGATTTTTCTTTAATCACACTTATTGTGTAGTATATATGCATGAACATGTTAGCCCCCTCTTTGCCCGTTGCTTTTGCTTTTTATGGCCGTCTCGTTGAATTAATGAGAATAGACTAATGCATTAGAGATATTATACCGAGTAAAAGTCGGCATTTGCAATGCTTTACAGGTTGGTTTAGATAACGTGTCTGGTCGTGCGGCCGTGCAACTTCCAGATAAAATTAGCGCACAATTTGAAGAGCTTTCAAATGAAATTCCGGAGATTGAAGGCTTTGTAGCAGAAGAAAGAGCGCGCTTATCGTTAATGATGCCCCATAATATGAACGTCGAGAAAGAGTACAACAGAAGGCAGCAGCTGATCAGTGAAGTCAACACTACACTCAATAGCCTTACAAGGTATTTTTTATATCTTACATTAATGTAAATGCAACAAGCGCTGCTGATCCTCTGTAAATAGATAAACCACAATCCTCTTAAAGCGTTAATCTATGATCTTGTCAAGAGTTAAAGATCTGACCTTTACATTCTGTAAAAAAATTTTGATTAATTATCAAAAACCCATATAAAAGTACAATACAGTTCATTCTTTGTTCTAGTAAACTGGACGAAATTAAAGTGGAAATAGCTACTAAAGATCAGGAGTGGTGTTCCGAGTTGGATGCACTTCTTGGAAAAATTAATGCAACGTTTTCGAGGTTTTTCACACTATTAGGGTGTGAAGGAAAAGTTACCCTATATGACGGTGAAGCAGTACATCAATATGACAGGTATCTGTAACAATATAATCATTATTTGGTTAGACATTGTTATATAACCATTCTCTGAAGGCGGATCTTTCAAGAAACGCTTATCCGAGAAAAAAGCTTAGTATACGATGTCCTGCAGCGTTTGCTTGCAAGCAGGAGAATTACGTTTATCTGAAACAATGTTTAAATTACAAATGCGGATCTGTCAGTATTATGCGCATCGGCAAACGACTGTTCGATAGCTCAAACCATATAATAAAAATAATAATAAAAATAACCGTTACCTTGTTCGTCGAATTCTGTCGTGCAATAACAGATACGGCATCAAGATTCTTGTGCGTTTCCGGGAGAATACCGATCTCTGTGAGCTAACACCAACTCATCAAAGTGGAGGAGAACGTTCAGTTGCTATAATTCTATATATGATGGCGCTCCAGGAACTCACCGTGGTGCCTTTCCGTGTCGTTGATGAAATCAACCAAGGTAAGAAAGCAACAAAGTCGATGCGTATAACACAGGCAAGCAACAACTTATCCTGTATTAGAGAATTTAACCTTTCTACTTATTATTATTTTAAATCTCATGAAGATTTAAAATAATAATAAGTTGACTAGTCTTCAATCTTTGTAATGATTATTGAGAATTAGTACTTCTCATTTTTTTGGTCACGTCTTATTTTTGTGCTTTTCAATACAAACAGGTATGGATAGTGTCAATGAGCGGCGTGTCTTTGAGTTTCTAGTAAAAACGGCCGAACTTAACGAAGCGCAGTACTTTCTCATCACGCCAAAGCTACTCACCGGTCTTCCCTACTCAGAAAAAATGTCTGTGCATTTTGTCTACCCCAACGTTGGATTCACACACCATCGATGGGGTCTGCAGAAGTTCATCGAGCGGCAGAAGCGACGTCGGACAAACTCAACAGCTATCCAAGAAAAAGACGACATGGAATTATAACCAAAGTGGCTTCACTAAACGTTGTGGTCAACGCTCCTGTAAATACTACTGTTGTAAATCATTTTCCTTCAATAGTGTAACTGGCGGTGAGTAAGGGGCTATACTGTAAATTAATGACAGCCTTGTTTACAACTTTTCTGTTGCGCGCGATACGGAAAACACTGTTCCTGTATAAGTAATTTACTGAGCTAGCTAATTTGATCAAAGTTATAGATTATTTTTTCATCGACAAGAGGTAGACGACGGTTAAAACCTGCAAAGATATCGCAGGAATATTTGTAATGATATCTACATATAAATATGTTTGTACCTATATCTGTCATTCAAGTAATGAATCGTGCTGCTAGTAACATGTACCCCCCCCCCCCCCCACCATACTTTACACCGTCTGGGCTTACCAGATATTCGATTTTGCATGTCCAATTATAATTGATGGCATGTTATTACTAGGTTTTTGTTTTCAGTAAATCAGTGTTCGACATATTCATGTAAGATATAAACAGAAAGAAACATCCTGTCTTTTGTAATAAAATATGATAAAATATTTATTGTAAAGATTTACTTCATCGAAGTGTGTTATAGGTAAATATTGACGGTAAAATTGAAAGAAATATGTTGTACATTTAAAAAAAAATATTGCTAAATATGCACTACTTTCAACAATCACGTTCTGCAATTTTTGTACAATTTCTTCACTGTAGAATTTCTATAGTTTCTGGCCGAAAAACTGTCACAGGTGATGTTTGCATTTTTTTCTTGCATCTAAATTAACACTACCAAGAAAAGTCTCCAGGGACCGAAACAGATAATAGATTGCATTATAATGCAATCGTCTAGCCATATGGCGGATGCTGCATAATAATGCAATAGCCGGGCTATAATCGGATTCATTAAAATCTTTTTTCATTTTCGGCAGCTGAACATGCGGCCTGGCATTAATATGTTGGAAGGTGACGCCCCTTCTGTAGACAAGTTCTGATTGATTTGTTTTAGTTGTTGTGTTGGTATTAATTGTTTACAGAAGATGTCCGAATTAATCGTTTGCCAGTGGACAAAAACTCTTAAGGCACGATTAGGATTCTTTTTCTAATCTCATCAAACGCATAGCATAATCTTCGTTGGCTAAGTGCATGCTTTGCTACTTCTCTCTATATTTCTGTTCACGGTCTTTTTTGCAGTTTTTTTGTTTATGTGATTTACTTCTTATCACCCGTGATCAATCACTTCAGAAACAGCTCGATCGTGTTGCGTTTCTTTGAGTCTCGCAGATAGGGTAAAAATAAGTTAATCTTTTTGCGTCAATTCGTGTGGCACCCAAATGTCCGAGGTTCTTTTTGTAACCATTTTTCCCCAGATGGTGTGAAACCAGTTAGTAGAGGATATTTAGCTCCTTGGCGAGATCAATAGTTTCATCAACATTTTTCGTAATTGATCGGCCACTACGAGGAATATCCTTTACATTAAAATTACAGCGCAAAGACGATAAATCCATTTTTGGGAAATAACGCATCTTGACTATGTACGGTACAAATGTATGTCTGGGCCTGCGTAGTATATGTGCTCTTCTCGTAATAAAACAACAGTAAAAAATTTGCTCTGTGTGACGATTTAAGTCATTTTCAGATTCGAATAGTAGTAGTAAAATGAACAGCAGTGCCAAATGTTAGCATTTAAATGACACTTAACGTGACCTGCCTTTCGTTAAACATGTTACTTCAAAAAACACCCTGGATGCTTTCTCGACCATTCAAAAGTTTCCTATAGCCCTTACCTCAGTTCTCACGTTTGCTATCTGTACACGGCATTGCCAATACAACAAATCTCTATGTGCTCGACGAAAGCTACTGAATAGTCACACTATTGTTTGAAATACCTGTTATGCACCATTGTGTACTGGCTCACATGCCTATAAATAGCATTTTTTATGTACTAGAAATAGAATTGTTAGGTATAATATGTAAGATGAGCTGCATTTCGTTCGTCCAGAATTGTCAGCACGACTCAGCCATTTGCCAAGTTGAAATTCTAAAGTTTAGGGCTACGTTATATTTAGCGTAGAGGATCCGCTATCTGTTTGATTCATTATATATATATATATATACTAGATATAGGAGAAACATGCATAGTCCCGTTGCTGGCAATAAGGTGCAATACTATTTTATTACATAAGATGAGTATTTTTCGGCGTTCTTTTTCTGAAATCTGCGCAAATATGGGCATGTAACTTTCGTTTTCAAGTTACTCTTTACTACGAAGTCGAACGCTTCGCGAGCAAGCAAACCAGCTACGCCTTTGCCTCGAAATGCGTCGGGTACTTCAGTATGCTTTAGATCTAGTACGTCCTGTGAAACTTTGTCGTACTGCAGAAAAGCCCTGTCATTACCTGTAATGAAAAGTGTCCTAGGTATATACAGTGCATACGAAGACTACTCTTAATACTACATTATTACTTAATGACTGATCCAAATGCTTAATTCACAAATCGATATTATAAAGTGTTGCTTTTAGCCTCATTATCTAATTAAAACTGAATGAAAACCTACCTATTTTCACATAAAACTCTCTTTTGGATTTGTCATGTGTGACCTCTAGGGCCTGCACTTGCGACGACATTGAGCGGGTTGTCACACGAGTGGACAATAGCTTACAAATCAGTCTTGACATCACCTTTCCCTTTGCGCCTGGAACCTGAAAAATTGAATAGACCGGTCAGATAAAAAAAAGCTTTAGATTGCACTAAAACGAAGTAAGGAAACAAAACGTTCGCTTAAACATCGACTAACATACAAACAGAAGTATACTCTTACTTTTCATCAATGGGGTATCATAAATAAGCGGCGCTAATCAAAGCATGATGATAACTTTCTACCTTCGTATGTAAAAAACATCACTATCTTGTACGAAGCAAATAGGTAATGAGAATCATTACACATTTTTTATATTAAAGATAGCGAAACGTATTGCAATACAAGCACTGGTATTGAGCGGACGCAGAATCACAGAGTTATATAACGTTGAGTCTTTTCACTGGTAACACTTCTCGCAGTACTTATCGCAGCAAGAGACAATGGGTTCCACAAATGGAAGCGTTCCAACTTCGTTTCTCTGCGCATTGAATGATAATTCGAACTCTGAATATCCGTAGCAGCGTAGCTTAGTTATTTAATATATAATATATATTTATTAATATAAAAATAATAATATATAATATAAATAATATATATAAGAATAAATCGTTTAGCTTTAACTTATTAATAAGCTAAAGCTAAACGATTTCGATTAAATAGAAGTAGACGTTCTACGTGACTGGTCACAGAAACGCTAGAGCTTTACGTCCCTGCATGATATCTAGTGATACCAACCACACGATTTACTGTAGTCACTTTTTTTAAATTATTTTTTAACGCTCGCTAGTTTTGAATTTACGCCTTTCTTTACCAGTTCTGCGATATTAAGTAGCTCGCTAAAGACAGCCTATCAAGTTAGCATTTCTTATTTAACCAATCTCTACCTGCTGATCAATGAGTCTAATATGGTGCACCTGTTAGCGACCAGGCAACTGTGAATTTTTCTCGGCTATGGCGACGCAACTATTGAAGTTTCCGAGGAATGTAGGAGTCGGTACTGCTATTGAAATGGGGAGGGGGTGTCAGTTTCGTATAACACCGAGCTAGGCGAACTGGCGCATTTCGAAGATATCGCGTCACGAGCATTCTGCTTTACTCCAGCAGTGTACATAGAGACTCCCTAATAATACCAAAGCGATTCCAGCAACTTCCATCCCAGTCTTGATCCTTATACAGATCAACACTCACCGCCCGTCTCTACCATAATAAGGCTTCCTCCTGACTCTGGCAGACGCGCGAATTCGTAATGATCGATTTGAATAGCTTACGCGTACACAATTTAGCTAATCGATTGCTTCATCAATTAAAGTTACATATCTCTGCCGTTTATACATTTTACATCAAGCCAATGGATAATCTATAACAAATTTGCGTTTGGCTTCTAAATTTCTGTGGGTCGAAGTGTTTCTTTTTTCACACACCATAATCCATTTTCGGCTCGATTCAAATGCCTATCTATTTAATAAGGTTTACTTCCGCGCAATAAAAAAGAAGTGATGGAACTGGTTAACTATGACACTTTTTGTAACCAGATCGCAACCCAATCTATGGTTCAGCTGCATTTGCCGAAGAGCAAAGCTAAGCAGTAATGTCGAAGGCAATGAATAGGCATAAAACAATCTATTACCGGCGTCTGAGTATAACGGTGACGTTCGGCCACTTACTTTTATAAAGGTTCCACCTGTCTTCGTTTACTTGCAGGGTTATCCTCTTGTTGCTGTTGTCTGCTCTGATATAAACATGCATTTCCGTCTGATTCAAATGGTTTCGATTTCGTTTTTTCTTTCTCCCTATCAAACGATTATGAGCTTTTCATCAAGCCATACTCTATATGGAAGCGATTAATCCTTCCGCTATCTGCTGCTATTTCCAGATGAAGTCTGTTTATAACTATCCGTCCAAAAGTGGTTTCCTTACTACAGCAGGATGCTGTGGAGTAATTCCACGTCAATGAGCGAGCGCTGCTGTGATGGCCATGTCTGGTTCTCTCTCGACTGCCGCTGTTTACCCTAACAGCATAGGCTCAATGGGTGATTAGAGAAGATTTGTGTGTCATCTGTCGGTCTGTGTCCTATTGTCGGCTGTATGCGCCCCTTCCCCGCGTCCTCCCGAAAGGAACCAACCAAATGCACCGAGCCCAATGCTGAGTCAGTAGTAAGCAACCTAGCCGTAGTCAGTGTAGTGTCGGCTTCGTTCAGAGAGTTCGTTGTATGAATTTGCTGTTATTATAACCGCTGCTGTTGTTATTCTCTCCTCACTGCGCGTTACGTTTGTTCCGTTTGTTGTTGTCATAATTGCTCCAGCTCAAAAACAGCTTTCGGCTGCCGAAAAACAGGGAAATTCAAAACGAAAGTGAGTAGATGTTGACAGGAAGATCTCAACGAGATGCTGCTAGTAAGGCTCCCGATATTGCGGCTGCTATCAGACAAAAGGAGGCTATTTTGACGACTTTCATCTCTGGTCCCGCTACTGGCGTTGGTGTAGCTGTTTATTTATTGATAACATAGTTCAACTAAAAGCTCCTATTTCTTTACGTCTGGAACAACAAAGTCGTATTGTTCGACGCGTAAGATACTGGCCCAAGCGCATAGTGTTTGGTACTCGTACGACTACCGACCCGAACCGGTGTCAGTACATCAGTGCGCCCTCGCACAGTGCTAGTGAGAAAAAGTAAATGAATAAACAAAGTCACATTGTTTGCGTCCTTTTGGTTAACGCGGGTTATTTGAGCATCGTCCGCACATTTCGGCCTTGCGCTATAATATTATTAGTCGAAACAACAGAGATGCTGTACAGCTGTCGGCCTGCAGGTCAACTCGGTAGTGAAGTGTCTGATCGTTTTGGCAGCTAATGAGATTTTGAAAGAGGCCGTTTATCCAACAGCAGATATCCAGGAGCAGAAATCGAACACGAGGAATATTGCATTATCAAATGAAGCACCCAAAGCGACGTGCCAGATCATATACCGAGTCGGTACGCCGTCGATGCAAAAGTAAACGATTTGGTTTTTCATAGCCGTCAATGGATGCTAAGCAGGAGACACAAACAAATGTACTAGTAGAAGATGATGCTACAATTTGTTTCAACCACCATCGTTTTTCATTAGTAAGTTCCGTCCGTGTGGTGTTGCTCAATCTATTCGTGATTAATCTGTCAAGTCATGATCGGTAGGATTTTATCTTCATAGATACACAGCGACTATGTGTGGATCATGAATAGGAAATGAACATTGATGAGTACACACGCTCTCAGTAACATCTAAAGGAAGATTTAAGAAGTAAGATCCTTTTAAGGCTAAATATGCCTACATAGGCAGTAGCGCGTCTGCGTGTAAAAGATCTCACACTAAACGAGGCAATTGTCCGCGCCACTCGAACCTCAAGTCGTTTCCAAATCTTGAACACTGCGCGAAGTTGCCGTATATAGGCGTGTGAGCGCCTTTGTAGCTCACCGTAGTGTTGAAATTATCTCAATGCTTTATGAGTCACTCAAAATTGGTATGGTAAGGACATGTTCACACGCGGGCAGCAATGAAAAAGCTTCTATACTCACTTGCTCGTCGTTAGGTAAAAAAAACGAATAGGCCCTAAGCCCCAGAAGGAGTGCGTCACTATCACAGGAAACAATTGCTCGCCTAACGAGAGCCTTTAATGTGCGCAGTGGTGCGCTCGCCTGCTAGAAGGACAAATGCCTGCGCGTGTTTAATTATTTTGTAGCTAACAGAAGCTGTTCAAGGAAAATAGTGAGACGGCGAACGTTTATGAAATCACAGTTGTACTGTATCAGCTAAAAACGCACCGAACAAATTTGTGAGCCGAAAGTTCTAGCAGTACGCGTTATGACGCTGGCATTCGTTTATGCAATGACTAAACGACTAATTTTATGGCTTTATATGAGTCAAATGAAGAAGAACTAGCGATTAACTGATTTATGACTTGACAAAAATATTCCTGCTGCGTAGTTTCAATACCATCCAGTTCAAAATTGCCTGATTTATCCTCAATTGAAAATCTATAGCTGTATAAAATTTCTGAGAATAATTTGTCTGATCAACGAAGCAGTTACACAAGATATCGATTCATGTTATATTTGCTTTGTCTAATGACAGCAGAAAATAAGGCATACCGTTACATTCAAATGTTTATTTCAATGTAACGGTAGGCGTTATAAAACGTAACATGCATGGCTCAAACAGTATAAATCTTAACGAGATCCTTGGTTTTGACACTACCTTTAGACCTAGGGACAAAGTTGTATTCGTATAACCTATACAGGGCTCTATTCGGCTGCAAGAGCCAAAACGACGAAGATTCCAGCTAAAAAATAATTGGTAATGGCGATTTTCTAGATTCCTACAATGCTACAATGCCACCAAAGACAATTTCAGGTGCACTGTAAAGACCAGTTACGCTTAAAAGCAGATTCAAAAAGGTGCGCTATTAAAGTGCATATTCCTTGCCGTTAGTCTCTATATTGTATATTTTGAAAGTTTTGATTAGCTAGTTTGATGGTTCAATGACGGTATATATCACTTATATATGGACACTGTGAATGTCGTGTATCAATGTTATTCTAAGATGCGCCATTTTGATTAGCATTATTTTAAATCTATTTGACTGGCATTCTGTAGTAACAAAACCATCTATTATGCATTTCCGTCTTTATTTTATGAATTAATTTAACATTACGACATGTAGAGTCGTACAAAACTATCAAATGGTTTCTATAGCTCGCGTATATGTATCGATCCGAATGAAACGATCAGCCTTATTAATTGAAAGTGACATATTAAGTGTAACTTAAATCATTAATTGCGTATATAATGTCCATATTAAATTTATTTGTGCTCGTAGCAATCGCTTTGTGCGTTTGCCATCCATTATCCGAGTCTGGTAGTGTTTACAATTTATTTGCTTTAAGCTGACTCGTTTGAATTAGCTTTAGCATGAGATTGTGATATTCTGCGCGATTGTGAATGTATCTTAACAATACAGAACGTTTAAATTAGTCGTTGTTTATGAAGATCTTTAGAAAATAATATTATTACGGTTTTTCATTAACCGCAAGTTGACACCTATACATATTTTTGTTCTTGTTTGAGTAACGGTGGCAGCACATTACCATATGTCGCTCAAGTCTTCGAGCGTTCATTTATTAAAAATACCATAGCCAGGTACGATTAAGATTTTCAGCTCTCCGCATTTACATACATACCTACATTCATTTTTACAAAATTTGTGCATATTTGTAGGCAGGTAAGCTGGCATAGCTGAATAAAGCCAGAAAGAGTATCCATCAAAATAAGATATCTAAAAAAATCATCAGTTTGCTTTGCTCCTAGCTTAGCTCGTGAATCTATTCACAAGTTCTAAAGCTAAACGGAAAAACATATTAAGTCTAGTTGGGGCCACCCTATGCCAAAGCTTCGCGTTTGGTAAAGTCAAGTGGCACATGAGATAACAAAGATACGCGTGTAGACTCTGAAAAGCAGAAATCTTTAGCATAAATATATAGGAGCAAAGCTGATAGGTTTGGTGTCTTAAGCGACATCTCCCATCAGGTAATTAATCTGGCAACGTTACGTGTAATTTTAGTCCTTGTACTGAGAGAGGTATTATCCTTTAAGTGGCTGAATGATTATACTTGTCTTTAACTCTAGCTAGCTTTAAGTTAGCGCAGCTCTCTTAGTAACGCGGTTTGTGTTGACAATGTTATGCAACCCGATTAAGAAGCATACATGGGTTACTATAGGTATTGCTGTATCCGTTGCAATGAATCGTGGTCAGAGTGACCTCTTGTGGTCTGAGTGGACACTGGTGAAACCGTTTGCTTGGAAACTGCCCTCTGCTTACGCGGGGGCGCGTCATTCGGCAGCATCGAATTTGTTTGTTACAGCTGCAACTAAAAGTGGACTGTTCTACGACCGGTGGGAGCTGCTGTTGGTGTTCCCAGCCCAATGTTGCACTGATCGAAAGCTATATACCGTTACTAAGCCGAGTTCAAATGCAAAACTTAATTGCTAAATGGGGTCAATCGATAAATCTGCCATTCTGTGCCGAACGGTGCAAATTCGCTTACCGTACTTGGGTAGGTGTCGACTTGAATAACATATATCACATTGGTTTATTGGTAACCAAAAAAATAACTTTGTCTAATGGCCAACAAAAGAAGCACAGCAAAGCTTTTTCAGGTAGTTTTTGTTCAAAACGCGTAAATTACTGAGCATTTTTTTACTCGCATTAACGGTCATACCTTTGGCTGAAAGTAGCCAGGGGATAGTAGCTTCGAGATCCACTAATGAGACATGAATACTAACGCAACTTGTGTGATTAAAGAAAGTTATTCGCTATTTTCTTATTGCGGTATCTTTATTTACCAAATCGTTGTCGATACTAGAAATGCTCCATTCTCTTCTTAACTTATTAGCAAAGATAAATCTCAAGAGGTAATTACATTTTGATCTAATTATTCGGCAGCCATTTTTGTAACCATCCGACTTAGAAAACTTACGCCGCCGTAACAAACTACGTAGTGCTGTTTTTTGGATCGAGTAGAAGTAACGCTTCGATTCATTTCTTTTGGATTTTCCGAATCTACAGGTTTTATAGCGTATGTGCTAGACAAATAATTTGTTCGATCGAATAAAATCGACCAAACGACCATCCAAAAAATGCTTGAAAATTAAAGATTTCTTTGCTAGTGAAAACGCTGCGAACTGTGCACCTTGTAATTTCTGTACCTGTTCATTGTGTCTCACGCATATTTTATCGGTGTGTTTTATTTGTAAATAATTGACCTTGTTCTGCATTCGCTTTTTGTCTCATTGTTGACTTTCAGCTTCATCACCGGCTACTAACGTTTTGTAGTTCACGCCTTGCGTTCAACCGCCTTCCAGCGCCAAGATGAGCGGCGTCAATATGGCGGCCTCCCCAATGGAGTCGAGCCATTCGCCGAGTGCGGACTCAGTTCAATGTGGGCCCCGATGCCGAAGGCAGCAGCGTCTCAATGCTTTTGATGAGATTAACGAACGTCAAGTTGACGACGTGTGCTTGACTTCTTTCTACAGGCCACATACAATTTCTTTACTTGTAGGGTTCATTGTTTTTTTAATCTATTTCGCCTTCACTCGAGATGACCACCGACTTGAAGACAACATCAAGGATGGGCTGTTTTGCGTATTGTTCTTTTTCATGATAATTTCTGTGCTAGCGTTTCCAAATGGCCCGTTTACTCGACCCCACCCTGCCCTGTGGCGCATGGTATTTGGAATGTCTGTTTTATATCTAATGTTTCTAATAATTGCGCTTTTTCAAAGCTTCGAGACACTGCGGGAGATACAGTACTCGTTCTATCCGGAGCTACGTGATTTTCACATTGACTCGGAGAAAGAGTACGGTGTCGACTGTTGGAATATTACTTGGGAAAAAATCTGGTCACACTGTGACGTGTTTGCAGTTGGCCACTTCGTCGGTTGGACCATGAAAGCCGTCCTGATTAGGCATTATGGCATCTGCTGGACAATTTCAGTTACGTGGGAAATCACCGAGATGGCATTTGCTCATCTTTTGCCGAATTTTGTCGAATGCTGGTGGGATGCATTTATTCTCGATGTGCTTATTTGCAACGGGCTTGGCATCTGGTTTGGTATGCAGATCTGCCGTTTTCTCGAGATGCGCACTTACAAATGGGAGTGTATCAAGGATATTGACTCAATTTCGGGTAAGTTACGTCGGGCCGTACTTCAATTCACGCCCCAGTCAATGACCAAAGTTAGCTGGCTGGATCCTGCATCAGGCTACGTAAGGATACTGGCTGTTACTGAACTAGTCATCTTTTGGCAGATCACTGAACTAAACACGTTTTTCTTGAAGCACATTTTTGAGGTGCCACCAGACCACCCGTTGTCGCTGATCAGACTTGCGCTGGTTTCAATTATTGTGGCGCCAGCAGTTCGCCAATTCTACAGTTATGTGACAAATACCAGAGTAAAGCGTGTCGGCACCCAGTGCTGGGTGTTCGGAGCGATCATGATGACAGAGGCCCTCGTCTGCATCAAGTTCGGTTTACAGCTTTTTAAGTTAACGCAAGTTCGAAATATTATCATCTGGTTGATAATCCAATTTGGCCTATCTTGCGTCTGTGTTTATATGTGTGTCTGGTGGCAGACTAGATGTCAGAAGATGCAATTACTCCGAAGAGCGAACGAACGTCAGCCAGGCAACGACGGCGATAGGTCGGAACAGATGGACCTTCTGACCGTCAGCGATGACGAGGAAAGTAGGAAGAACGTGTAACGCGGTCTGAGCAAGCTTCGTGCTTTATATAGACAGGACGGAAAGTAACTAACAAAATACGAATAAAAGATTACGTAAACTGCTTATATCAATTACGCGGGTGACGAAAGCAGCTCAACTTTACATCAAAAATAGGAGTCCGTGCACTTTCAGTGAAGTTGCGATGGTGCCTTCACCGTGGAAGATACCTTCAAGGACTCACCGGCGTAACCATATGCATCTTTCGATCACAGGACATTTTGACAGGTGAAATGTTGAATGTAACAGCAACATCATTAATGACGTCAGCTCTGCACCAATGTATGAAAATATTATGTGACGATATGAAGGGATATCATCGATATGACAAAAGACATTTAACGATTTCACCGGGGAGCAATCGTACGGGACTGCCGTACTAAGCACTTTTAAATCTTAGTTACGAAAAATATATGTTTGCTTTTAAAAGGCAAGTTTGTGAGGGGTACTGTAATAAAAGCGTAAAGCATTTCCTGGCTTACGCTGCCTCATGACGCGATGCAACTAGATACGGTGAAACATTAACTGGTACGTATAGTCTACGAACAATTGTATAGTATTATGGTCTGTGCATGTATTCTGAGAGCGATATCGTATTGATATTATAGGAGAGCATTGACCTTAATCTTGTGAATGGTGGCTCTGCAATAATGAATACGAAAGATAAGGTGGATTGAGGCTCAATACAAGAGTGCCAACTTTGCGGCCAGCATAAGGTCACTAAATCCAGTAATCTAATATTAAAAAAAAAAATATAAACCCACTCAATACAAGTACGACTATATTTGGGTGATATCAACGGAAAAGCTAAGTCGTTTAGCCATAGAAACATGGCCATAATGTTGCCGAGATATCAAGGCTCACTACGCGGCAGAGACAACTAGATATAAGATTAGTGGTAACGTATCAGCTTATATTCATATACACGCATAACGCTAAGGTAATAAGGTAAGGTAGAAATAGCGCTTCGGATGAGTTCTAAATAGTTGTAGTAGTATATTGTATAGACATGTATAAAAAAGACCCTCGGTTTACACTTGACCTGATCTAGCTTAGTAGGAAGTCCATACTTTAATAGCAAACGAAGAAATAGGTTTATGAATGAGAATGAAGAACAATAACAGCGAATGTACCATAAAATTTATTATGTGATACTGCGTTGTCCGCCGAGGAAACACAGAACAAACCCTTAAATTTACGCAGAAATCGGATATAACATTTACATGTATCCTTCGATGCATACTTGGTATGAAGTCACTATTGTACTATAACAAGTATACTGTACGTGAACTAACTGATTGGGAAGTATAGGACCATTAATAGAATGAACGGAGCAAAGACAAGAAATCATCATTTATTAGCTAAATACAATTGCAACAGGTGTTATATTAGTATAAAGTGTAATGTATGGATGCGCTGATTCAGGTACATGTTCGCTTGCGTACGTTATGCGCCATTAATGCGCATGGCCTATATGTCGCCTTAAAGCCAAAGACTTTGTTTTATTGAAGAAACTATAAAACAAGGATTTATGTAGTGTTGTTCTAGAAATACATAAATTATTAATAGTAATACTACTAATAGTCGACATAAACAAAGATCGATTAGAACACAATTAGAATTGCACATGTTCGAATTAGCCTCGGAGAAGCCGATCGAGGGACTGAACTACTACGGCTACTAAACATTTTTCCGACTTTAGATAAATGCAACAAAATGTTTGAACTAAAAGAATGGTTGATAAGGTCTGTGGGTATACTGATCACTTCTGCTAATGCAGTTAGACCTAAATCGGCCCACTGAATACCAGCTGAAGTACCATGAAGTACTTGAAAACAGTAAGTTCCCTATGGAACCACTAGTACTTCTATAAATTATATAGGTTCACTCACAGTGTGTAATCGACTTACGCTCGATGATGTTTATGGTCGTTGAAATTGTGTTCGCTATGTAAGAACCATTGATTATTATTGTTTTCGAAGTGAAAGCGAAACAATGGCTTTAATTCAAGAGATGTGTGATAAACTTATAGCATCTCTGTTATAAAACTATGTCACGCCAGATGGTAGGAGAGGAGAAATAAAAGAACTTAAATCGTGACCGTTTTACGAATGTAATAAGCGGACAAGTAATAAATTAGGGGGCCTGGTCCCGACAGTTAATCTACCACAGTGATGGTAAGACGTCGAAGACGCCTTTCGTTGTCGTCACGTGACGGAATATTTTCGAGGAAGTATACGTCCCTTGATTCATATCCACCCTTGGGACCGTGTCAACTGGGTACAAAGATATTTCCCATGTACATATATATATATATATATATATATATATATATAACATGACTTGCAACCTTTTTTGTATTGTAATGAATGAAAACTCTGAATTTCAATATGAGCAGTACATAGAATGCAGAAAGGAACAAGAAGTGGAATATAGGGCCGTCCTGATGACGTTTCATCATAGTTTTGCGTAATCGAAGAGTTATGTGCGAGTATTCTGACTGAATAGGTTTGGGCGGCGACAGTGGTTCTTATTGGGCTCTTCATGATGTCGCCATTGCTGAGTGGGGGCATAATGCCATTTGTGTCTTCGTTTCTGGGAAACAGTGTTAAATGAAAAACCCCAATTGTCTATATAAAATTATAGGTGCATTATATATATATATATATATATATATATATATATATATTACAAGAATAGATGTAAGGTGTGGGAAAAAATGAATGGTGTTTTTGCAGTCTGTCCGCAAAATGCTGTGCATGCATACATTTCGTTAAGATATACTTCAATACGTAACTTAAAGCAGAATCATGAAATAACGGTATTTTGTTATATAATATATCGTGCCAGGGAACGACACATGGAATTCTGCTACTCTTAGGTTAATAACAATGTATTTATCTTTCAATTATCTGTTACCATATCGTATTACTAAAACACTCTTACCATGCCTTGTTTTAGTCACTTAGTGCTAGGAGATGGTCATTGTAGGTTTACCTATTTAATTATCATTTTACAATTATCATAAGTACGTACGCAAATACATTCAAGAAGAAGTTAATAGAAGTGCGCTTCTCGGCAAAAGGAAACGCAAGGAAATCGAGAACTATTTTCTGTATTTATGTGCATTTGTGTGGGCGTGCAAATAAATGCGCTTTTGTGTTTGTTTACCGGTGTGCGTGTGCCTGTGGGTAATCGGTCGTACTCCACCTTTGTTAGTTTTTCAATAACAATGATCGTGGTGACAGTAACGATGTTAAAATGATACATGAAGAGAGTATGAAACGATGACGATTTCTGTACAATAATAAACAATTAAATATAACACTGAAACTATGGATATGGTTCGCCGACACCGAATCAGTAAGAACAACGAAAGTATTTGTGTTTTTATTTTTCTGTTGATTCTTAGTATACTGAATACCGGCCTGATGATAGCTATGGTACACCGTTGATAGTTTTGTGGACGATTAATATCGAAAAGCGGGCAGTAGAAAAAACTTGGTCAAGTGGAACGGCTCTTTGAGAGAGTATTTTATTGGGGCCATGTAGTCTCAGCGTTTGTTTTTGTTTTTTAAGTATAATATACAGTTTGCAGTAATTATAAATACATAAATGACGCCGAAACAAGGCGGCGTAGCCCGTCAATGTGACTGTGCATTCCGCCTATTGACTGTGCTAACTACTAGAAGGCCGACATTTAGCGATACAAAGCAATCCTTTACACCTGCACAATTAAGATAAGTACGTTTATATGTATGGATATATGGCGTTTACATATATATATATATATATATATGTAAGCGCCATATATCCTTAATGCAAACATTCTTGTATATATAATTTCTAGTCATCTTTTCGATTAAACGCTTCGTATCCATAAAAAGTATAATTAGGTAAGTCGGGAGCTCGATTAGCGAAATGTTCTACATCACTGTGTAAGGAGGTACCTAGCGAGCTCGTATTTCAGTTCTGCGTCACTTTCTTTTCAGCTGGCGAATTAAATAAATTAAGTGCAGATTAAAAAAGTAAACAAGCTTAAAGTAAATAAGAACTTTTTGCGTATCAGTTATTATTTGATCAATCGAGATATTTGATTGGACCTATGGTTTCTGTCTTGATTTTTATTTGCTTGCGAAATTAGCGGAGTAATCCGACAGGAATAAGATTATTCGGATTAGCCAATATCTATATCATGTAAACACCACGAGGTCTTGCCGGCGGTCGCGTCGAGCTTAGTCATTGCTATTCTACTAACCAAAAAAATATAAAAATTTTATAAAGTGAATGCGCTTGTGCTCCGTGTTGCGCATACGAGACGTTTTTTTCCTACATCCGGAACACTTTTCTTTCCATTTTTCTTGTCGAAGTGCGGTTGAGAAAAGAACGGTTAACTTTTTCATACAGCTATATTTTTATAGTAAACAATTTCTCGTTCGCTCTGAAAAATTTATATTTACGAATCACGGGGGTGAACTTCTCCGAAAAGAGCTAAGACAGCGTCGGTGAAAGGCTAAATACGACACTTGGAGACGAATGAAATTCGATCGTGTATATGATGTTTTCGGGTATTAAAGATCGACATGTTGGTGACGATGAATACTGGACATAGATAAGCAAAGATGACAAAGAAACATATGTAAGACAAATTTTCTGTTTAAAGCTAACACCATACGACCTTCTCTAGGGTACAGCACTCACAGTGGAAAGCAACAACTTATTTATTTATATATGGACAACTTATTTAGGTTACAATTGGTTTATAAATCTCTTCATATTATTCTGCGTATGCATAGTACTTAGGCAATTCATTAAAAAAAAAACACAACAACGTCAACGAATCCGACCTAGAATTGACGAGAAGTTGTTGTCTTTACATGAATGCAGCTATTTCAGACGCTTTGATCTTCAATGATTAAACTAGGATTTGTATTGCTCGGAATATGTATACACAAGAAACCACCGGGGTATGTCCTGGACTTGTCTCTGTAAACTCTGTAAGAGTGAACTCTATGACGAAAAGTTTTAGCCAGACATGTGACTATAACCTACTGGTGTTATAACCGCATACTGACATCAATTACGATCCGTTGATTAACTTAAGATTCTTCCCTCTAAATGTAAGATTCTTTTGCTTAGAAACATAAAGTTAGCTTATTTAACTTTTTTCAACTGCAGCATCTTTGTTATTGTTTTCCATCCACGAAACTATTATACATTTAGCGCACAATTGAAATAACCGCACGACCTAGCAACATAAAGCGTCTTGGTAAAATCATTAGAATCCGCTCCGATTAGACCTTCGTTGGGACCGGCCCTTGATGCTATACCGAACAGGTGATTGGAACGGTAAAATATAGCTAAAGATGTTAAAGGACAATATCTTGAAATATTCTTAAAAGTAACCCCGATATGAACATAATTGACCTGCGAATAGAAGCTATGTCTTGAAATATGTACGCATAGATCATAAGAAAAGTGCAAAGGTTGTCTTTGTCTTTTTTCGACATTTTTTAAAGTAATCTCAATCCAAAATGTTGGACTTGTTAGGTTGCGCAACAACATGCAAATCCTAAACCACTCATCACATACATAAGGTAAGTAAGAATGTTTTTATTTAATTTTGGATTCTTTCTATTCACCACACGTTTCCGAAACTTCATTCATTTGTACTCATTCAGCATGCAGCGTTTTATTCGAATGAACGTACGTTATTTTCACTTGCTACTCTAGCTGCGTTTCAGGCCATACAAGTTCGACAACCTAAAAGTCTGAAAGTTGTACATAATGATGCAGTCCTATGTGCAGCGAACGCACACCAGGTATGTACAAGATACAGAAAATATTGTCATGTTTGGCCCACAGTATGTTTCTACCGACGGCTGTTTGTCAACTCAAGATATCCAGCCTTTGTTACTGAACAGTGAGCGGTCCTCATGATCGTCCAGGGGTAGTGTCTTGATAACTGTGATCACAACGCACTAATAATTGCGCCGTACAACTTCGCGATTTATTCGTCCTTATTCAGCAGTAGCGACGGAAATATCTGGGCCTCATGAACATATCGTTAAGGACAACCTGAGCTCTCGCCAATTTTCAGCCCCCAACAACACTCCTTTGAAAGCTAGCGAAGGTCTGCTGTGATGACATTGTTTGCAAAATTTTCATACTGCCTTTGTGCGGATAATAGAGTTTACACCCAGTTACCACTTGTACTGAAAACGCACTCATACCGGCGCAAATACGATTCATTCGCTGTGCGCTTAGGCATACCTAGAACTTAACATACGTTTGGTACGCGCTGCAACACTATCTTTATTACATGTATTTACACATATACATGCACGTATTTTATATGCACATATATTTAATTTGAAGCGCGTGAGGTAGCATAGATTCGCAACCGGCCGTACGGACGATTCAGCTCGTTTTAGTTCCTAGCTCTCTAAAGCATCACCAAGCGAGAGTATTAAAGAATAGAACTTTTTTTTTCATCATATTTATTTTTTGGCAATAATCAGCGGCTGAGGAGCACAGATGGGCGTGACAATAATAGGAAAAAAAATGATATCACATAAGCATGTATTGGCCGATACAACAATATTGTTGCCATAGGCAAAAGTTCTAAAAGGGAGGTGAACGTTAGATCGAAGTTAATTAGTGGTAAAAAAAAAAAAAAGAGTGATCGCAGAGAATAAGATAGGTAGATCCACAGAGACCTTGAAATACGAGCGGCTAGCTATTTGGACATATTTTGGCCAACTGTGTACGATGACACGTTAGCTTCATGAAGCTCTTCATGGCAACACAACAAATCTTTTCTGAATGTATTCACCTGTTGACGTGCTTAGTCGTTACATCCGTGTTTAACGATTCTCCTTACCCCACCAATCAATCGCTGAACAAAAGTATAACTTTGATTTCGCCTGGCCATCTTTTGCTATACTTCTAAAACACGCACATATTTAATAGCTTTATGATGTCATGTTTATATTTTGCTAAGAGTCAGCTATATAGTTTTGTTGTTTGCGCCTGTGTGGGGTGACACAAGCGATAGATGGATAGGACTATGTTAGTCGAGTGCTCACCCAAGAAACGGTCAGGGGTTTAATCTACTATCTATTGGTTTATATCATACCTCGTTACCCCTTTTGTAGACAGAATTTGCTTCTTTGGACTAAAGGATGATAATGATTTGCGTGACGCTTATTTATCAAGTGATCCTTACCGAAACAATCCATCTTCAATAAAGTTAGTGAAACCAAAAATTACGCCACAGTTTAATTTCTACTTATCTGCAAAATACATCGGTAACAACCGTATAGAGATCTAGTATTAAGGATTAACCACCGTTTGGTTATCGTGCAAGCTTCTTAGACACGGCCGATGGTATAATCGTTGAAGCACGACCTTTGTGATGTCAAGAGCGCGGTATTGAATATGTTAGCATCAAAGACATAATAGAAATCGAGGGTAAATACGAGTTCCAACAGCTAATACTGGCAATGATCATGCGGGTCGCCGTTAGCGGAAGCATTACCCCTTTGTCTAAGCATTAACCTTTATCAGTATGTATAACGAACTGTGGTGTTTCTTCTCATTGTTTGATTTCAAAGAAACGTTATAAAACAGATGTAATTATTTGCAATAACAATTATTTTGCAATTAAACTATCGTTTTTAATAAGACAAGTTTCCAATCTAGCCTGGCCATTACCGACGTTTAGTAATAATAGCTGTAGTGACATAGCATCCTACTGTCATAGGGGTCCGATACTCTTAGAAATTTGAAATTTCTAAGAGTATCGGAAGAAGCTATCGATCGAATCATCGGAAAATTACACGTAAAAAAATGAAATGACTCCAAGGGTCTCCGAAACCCAATGAAATGCGTGCAAAACTTTCTGTTCATGAAACACCTACAGAAATGACGTCATCATTGGGCGACTTCCTTCGCCAAGTGATTCAAGTTCTCAAAAAGACACGGTTTGCTTTATCATTTTCCTTCCTTATTGGTAAATTTTTATTGTTTCAATAGGTGAAGTTGAAGGAAAAGTTTATCTTGGTCGTTCTTGTTGTTGCAACACGTAGCGTGTTTTGTGTTCTTCAGCATGGGCTTTTTTTTTAGTTGAGTCCACTGTACATCCATGTATCGATCGATGTGCATGTTGAGGTCTCAATGTCGATAACAATAAATATTCTAAGATGAATCTTATTTCCCTTAACTTGACGCGCACTTCTGGTAGAATTCGTAGCAAGAATCAATTGGTTGGATAGGGAAGTAAGTACGCATCGTTTTTCACACTGAAGAACTACGTAACGTATATTCCTCATTGCAAAAAAAAAAGGCATCGTAAAGTTTACGGTTGATTCAGTAAAGCTAATTTATAATAATCTTGTTACAAATATGTACGGTTCTCAGTGTAATTTCGTTTACTGACGGACTAAGCAGTGGGTCTAACGGAGTACACAAAACACATTTCTTGACGAAATGAAATTGAAAAAACAAATCAAGAAAGGTTACTCTACTTCGTGTATTCATAACGGAGCGAAAGAAGCCGGAGGTAAAAGAAACACGGGCTTATAACTGGAAAACAGACGGTCATTCTTCAAAAAGATCATTGCAGATTAAAATAGACTTGTGTGTATTATTTCACACTGGTGGAGCGACCCAACTGAATAGGAATGATCATAATTGGGTTCGTAACCAGGGTAAAGACGCCTGTCAGGCCTGACCTGTTAACGCAGTTTGCCCACATATCCTATTATTTCATCAAATTCAGTTTTCTCATCACTGAGCAGTGGTTAGCCAAAATCATATTAAAATGCTAATATGACAGCTCATCGTTATGAGATGAATGTACCCTCCGTACTTTTATGGTTGAGGAACACGATTAGATAAAAGATTGGCTCGATTTTTTTGACGCTTCTCGCTCAAAATTGACCTGCGCATTTCAATAGATGTTAAAATAGCGATTGCTTTCTACTGCATATAAATTGCATTTTTTATGTTTTTAGTCCGCTTAGTTTTTGTTTGGTCCACGCTTCTGCGTGGGCTATATCATCGCCATCGATGTATATATTTTCTACGTATGAACAACCGTACGCCGGCCACTCTTATTTTAATTACGTTACGTAGATCAACCGAATATTTATTCCTGCATTTCTATATAAACTCATACTAACGCAATTGACACCTTTGTTGAGTTGAGAATACGGTCTTCAAATAGAAAGGAATTTGTTTATTTCAGTTTCGCTTTCAATATTTTGGAGGATGTCACTTCATCGATCGTGCCAGCGTTTCCTTGCATGAGCTTTCTGACCTCTTCATACGTTCCTATTCATTATTTGCTTTTAGATGGTAGGGGATAACTGAAAGGTTTCCGCTGTATAGCTTCACCTAGAATTGGTTACTGCTATAAAAATTTTACAGTATTACATTATATTGTCTAAACAACGCAGCAAATCAAAGTGGGAAAAAAGCAGATCTAGATTTAGCGATGGAATCCAACTTTTCTCAGTTTTCGGTGTTTACAGAATATCAAAGAACTATGTTTGGCTCAGTAAACTCTGAGCAAATGAACTTCTGTAAGAAACACTAAAAATATTACTACTTATAATATTATAAATTAACTGGAGCACTGTCTGGAAGAATCCCAAGATGTTAATGCTATTTCGGAGATTTACTGCGGAACTGAAAAATCGCAGCGCATTGCCTGCAAGGTACCCTTAATGGAGAACCCGTTAGATAGGCTAATCTTTATTCAAGGAATTGTACTTTAAGCATAGATTGGGTCGTGTCGTATTGCGTATCGAAGCCTAAGGCTTTTTCGTCGACTATTGAAGCCTTAGGTTAGGTTTCCATTAGGTAAGTCGTCACTTATTAAATGGGCGATTCATTAGCGAAAATATTGATTATTACCAGGGCTTTGCTTTTGCGTCTCGTTAGGATGCTTGCATGTAGACATTGGCAGCGATTTACGGTAATACGCAACGAGAACATACGAGACCTTTGATACGTAACGATAAAATTTTATTTTGTTAATAAAATTATTCATTTTCTATCTATTGGAAAAATTATCCAATCCTTTATTGTGTCACCCATGCGGCAGATGTTCAAGCGATTGTGTGCCAGTAAAACAGACGTAACAATTCTAAATAGAAACAGAAGCCACAAAAATCAAACTATAAAGTCGTAGTAAAATATATTTATGCTTTATTCACTATTTATAATAACAACAATAATAATTATAATTACTGTATTAAATTCCTATTATTTATCTAGGGCAAATGATGACGATGATTACTAGTATGAAATCAGATTAACTTCTCCTTATCTTTCAGCAAGAGCATTATTTATCGACCGAAAACACCAAGTTTACATATCGTAATAATAATAATAATGAAGTTGCTTTATTATGATCATTATAATTTGTTATGTATTTATTATATTATCGAGCGTCATGCGACGAACTGTATATATGCAGGGTATCCCAAAAAAATGCGTACACCGTTTATATTTATTTTCGACTATTACTTATAAGATTGCCAATTACTTATAAGAAAGTCATGGATTCGGAAAGACTTTGATTGTTTTAACAAGACAAAATACCTCCGTACAGTCGTTACTAGCGAGAGGGCTCTAAACCGATAGGTTAGACAGCGATGTCGTATGTAATACCTAGCCCGTTCCCCAGACTAGCTTGCCTCAAAAAACCGATGCCAATGGATGGTCTAAGAGCCATAATTGAGCAGGAATATGCCATAACACCGACAACGCAGATTTGTAAATCAATATCGCAGCGGTGTACTGACCAGAACGTTTGTAACTTGAAATATCTGCATTAGGAGAAAAGCTACACATCGTAGTCTAAAAAACGAATGTTAATAGAATTCAAACTGTGTATACATCTTTAAAGACACCCTGGCCATATATATATATATATATAATGTTCGTTTGGAGGTACCTCTTATTTTAAGGAGCTCCGCCAGATCTGTTTTCTCTGCATTTAGTTATATTTGCCATGCGTTGCATGACGTCATACGTTTTTCAACTTCTGTCATTCTTTTTCCGCACATCCATAGAAAACTCAAATCTCCTCATAAAACAGGGCATATTAAGGACATAATTTCTCCTTTCTTGCTCTTTTCCACATATATATATATATATATATATATATATATATAGTATATCTATATCAGCTTCGTATTCATTGATCTTGTCTTTCCGTAGTTCACACCGTTTGTCATTTTCATATCATTTATATATATTCATATAGTATTGTTATATTTAGAATTGTATAGTATTTGCCTTATCTATCTCTATGTTATCTTCCTGTTTCGCATAGCTCTCACGGTTGTAGTACCGTTATGGTGGTGGTCAACAAGGCAGCCTTGATTTTCCTTTGCTATCGTTCGCCTTTACGTGTCGCAGAACGATGAGCCGCTTCGACGTTGCGGTGTTCGAAGTTTTGTGTTGTAGTTTCGCTTTGATAGTCGGAACTTTCCTTGTCTTTTCGAGCACGTTTTTGGGCTATTTAATTTTAAGATTAATGTCGCTTCGTTGTGAACATGGAAAAGAGACTATTTCTGTATAGCAAAGTGTTCTCTAGTGTCAAATGTTTGATCTCCATATATAATATTTGCGCACTGTTCTTATTATTTATATTTCTTCACTGCTGATACGTACATAGTTCGGATAACTTAAACTATCGATTTATTGGTGTAGGTAAAAATTTGCAGCAATGCGAGATAGGTCAGTATACCTTGCTTAATTTGACGTTCGTTGAGGGACTGCCATCTTGTTCACTCCTGCTCATTTCGGCAACGCTCAGCTCTATGAGCACCTTTTATCGGCAAATTTATTGGGACGGTTCATGGAAGAACTAATTGCCACATAGCAATTAGTTCTTCCATGCATACATTTCATTCATAGTGAAAAACGCCACATCGATTGATCGCGTAGACAAACGTATCCCCCAGTGTCTCCCCGAACGTACGCAGGTATGAATTTAGAAATTGTGTAAAGGACATTTACCTTTTTTATCTAGCTGTCTCTTTCTTTTATGTTTTTTTTTTTTCTAAATTGACACAGATATTGCTCTTTTATCGCTGCGCTTGATCCACACGTGAGTAGACTAGCCTATTTGTTCAAAGGGAACGTTAAATTTAAGCGGGCGTACACTTATCATACTTGTAAAAATTATCGCAGCTCGCAATCAAGTTCATGATTTGTATACAGTTCAAACAAGCCTCCAATTAATTAACTTTCTACACTCCGATACAGGTCGCAACACTTACCATCATGTTAAGTTTAATTGCAATACAGCTTAGCTACCCTATATTTTAAGTTAATATAGAGCAACTTGATATTCTAAAATTGGCTTTTGCTGATATTGTTGGTTCTATTGACTTGACGTATCCCACTCATCAGATTTTGTTGTTAAGTACCGCATCTTTTTTCGTATTAACTATACTTCACTACACGGGCCTACTTACAGCTTGTATAGCGTCGTATTTACAATCCAATGATAAACATTACTTTACATCGAAATGGTTGTGGGGGCCGCCGTCAGTAATAATATTGTCATCATATAATTATTTACAGCATACTCGCTTAGCTCCGCTTATGCACGGTGGTCAGCACATATGTATGTATGTATGTATGTATACTAGATGGGATACATCGCACCGCCTTATCATGACGGCCTTCTATCATATTCTGCCGCCGTTTATATACGCATGTAATAATAATTTATAATTTCTACTGTTAGTTGTCAATCGTTGTATATGTAACTGACATATCTACATAGAAATCTCCCATTTATTAATATTATTATAATTATATAATAGCTTTGTCGTTAACGTAACACTAACAGGGTCATAACGGTACGATTGCCAGCGACGGTCAATATAATAAACAGCATTATCTATTGAGCCTATTGTAACTTCAAACAAATGGTGCCTCGTGTTCTGCTAGGAATCGGCTTAATGGTTATGGTCCAAAAAATGGTTCTGAAAAAACGTAAAATTCTTTAGGAAATGTGAATCATGTTAGCACTAGTATCCGCGTACCAACATCTTCAGCTTTTTTTTCTCTGGCAGAAAAAGTATTAAGATATTAGGCCCAATCCGAACTACGTCGTTCGCATGTCACCGGAGTAAAATTCAATGAAAAGATTTATATATATTTAATATAGGGCATAGTAGTATAATCATAATAACGTACAATACAAACAACTGCTTATGACTCGATGATCATATCCTCCTGACTGACATGAGGACTCAGTACCTTCGAAATACCCACGCAAGACGATCAACCCTCCAGGTAATGTATCTTGTATTGTCTATACCGCAGCACTAAACCGTCCACGTATCCTTGCACCAGTAATTATTCTCATCTAGAGTCACCGGGGTCACCCTTCTAAGAGGAATGCAGGATTTTTCAAAAAACAGATTTCGCCATATTGGGTTTGATATAGACTACATGCGATTGGCTTCAGTAAGCACCAACTTACCCTACGTAGAGCATTGTCCGTTAAGGACCTGCGTGGTGCCCTGGATGTACAAGTTGCTGGATGCGGTGGAACTGACTCGTTGATCATTTGAATGTTGCTGCACAGACGCTTAACATAACGTTACTAATAGTAATGCGGCTTAAACTAGGTTATGGCATCTTTAGAATGGCTTGTAGACCCCGATTCTGATACTCTATGGGAAGTCAGACCAGAGTAAAGCTTAGGTTACGATAGTTTTTGCCACCGATCAGCATAACAAAACGAAGGGGGAACGTGAAAAATATTTAAGATATTTAAGCAGAACTTCTTCTCGATTTTGACACTTTCATGACTCGATAATAGAAGGCAATGGTACTAAACGCATTCAGGTTGCGGCGGAGTCTGCGGTTCCGCTTGTTGTCTCGGGACTGCGGACATACGAAGCTTTGAGGGATCCTGGGAAGACTTCCACTACTTGTTTTGCGTGAGTGTCCGGTAGTCATCACCGATGCTTTGCTCGTCACCGAAGGGCTATTTGCGGCTAAGGTCATTAAGTCGTCCTTGTTATCCGGCACGTCCACGGAAAGCTCCGTTATCGATTCAGGTTCCGCGTCAGCGGTCCATGATGACGCACAGGACGAGTCTGCTGGTGAACGTACCGGTAAGTCGATATCATTTAACTTCGGGCGTGAAATTAATGCATCGATGCAGTGATACTTGCCCAGAGAAGACCAGGTCTTCGATCCGATCTACCTGGTTCCCATTGTTTCGACTTAACTAAGATGGCTATCATTTGCTAAGTCCATCGAGTCTCATATGTAGTCAGGTGAGTCAAAGGCTCTGGCTTTAAGGTTATCTATGACTGAAGCATTTTATTAATGGATAAAAGGCATCTCGCGTAAGCGCGTTTCCTGGTATAGGCACTTTCTGTGTTCTATAGGCCAAGTGTATAATACTGTATCCATGTAGTTACAAAGATAAGGTACTGGCAATTAGGGAGGCTATCGGTTAGAGAAGGGACAGTGGACGGTTAGTGCGAGTCAGTTAGCCAAGTTTTCGATACTTCTGATAGTGGTGACTGTAATTCTCGTCGTCCACCAGGATAGTAACTAGACTGGTTTTGATCAGGATTAGGTTATATGACTGACTGATATCTAATCGTCTGATCATTGTGGACGCCCACGATCCACAGTCAAACTGAGCCCACCCACAGTGTGTGAGATGTATTTCCCATTATTTGGTTTTTTTTTTTTATCTAATAGCTTTTCGTCTTCCTTCAAACCGATACGCATACACAGAATATATACAGGGTGTACTTTTTCTGTTTGTCGATTTATTCTTCGAGGTTTTCAAATGCCAGCTCTATCTCTGACTATCTGTTTCTTGTTGAGTTGCGATTTGTAGAAAAGCACCTCTAGCGAATACTTTGACTGTTCCGATGCCGCCGTTTTGCCATTTGTAGCATTATTTTTTGCGTCTTCACCCCCTTCTGCATGTCATTTTTTCCCAAATTTTGATAAATATCTGGACGTAAAGTTCTTGTGGGTCGGCCAATTTGACTCGATAGGCTATACTGCCTTCAACGCTTGCCAAGTTCATCCGTTCGGGTAACTTTTTCCCTTGATCGAAGCCTAAAGAGTATCCATGGATCTATTTGCAAGTGCTCGATATTGTCCGATCTCTTTCGTTTCATGTCTGGTGAACGATAATAACACTGTTGTATCACGCCAAAGCTCTCGTTTCCCTTAACTCCGCAATCTTCCAACAGACGTTTCCAAAAGGGTCGAGCTTTTGCAGGGTGTGTGCGTATGGATGACATGAATCCATCAATGCCGATCAGTCCCGAAGGTACTGAATGTAGTTCTCAGGTATGAGGCCTCTTTTGCCCTGTAGCACTCCCTCCAACCACCCCGACTCGTGTGATGGCCTCACTGAAAATCGACACGATACCATACGACATTCGGTTTTCGACAACATTTTCCACCTCCATCATCACTATGATCACATCATATACGATAAATAGAGAACCAGCTTCGAAAACTATAGCGGCCCGTTGTTTGACATCTTCAATTGGCTTGGGCATGCGTGCTCCTATCCGCAAGACCAACCATACACATAGCCAGAACATGATTGTGAGAGATAGTGCAAGTAGGGTACGTGTCGCTTCAAGAAGGATTAACATGCGATAGATAGGTGCGCAGCGATCAGGGCACGAATACTGAGCATTTGATGGAATAGCCGACAATATCTAGTGCAGCCAAAGAGGAAGTATACAGCTAGACAACGACGGTACATTTAAACAGAGAACGAACGTCTTTTCTCGTAGACAACTGCAACCTGCGAAATGGCGTTAAGGACATTGGAAAAAGGTGCCAAGACGAAGAGACGTTGAAATAGACATGTAGAAAATGAACCACCGAGGTAAATAGTCCTTGGGATTATACAAGCAGTAGGAGAGATCTAAGACTACTCCCGCTTGTTCTTTAACAGAGAACTAACAACTATGGCGTAGACAAACAGTCTTCACCCCAGTTTCCTAAAGAGCCAACGGGATTTAGAAAAAGCTAAAAACATGTATAACAAAGCAGTCTAAGACGATACAGTAAAATGATAGGAAGTGGCAGGTAAAAAAAGAAATAGCAACAGTATGAACAATCGGAAGAAACAAAGTTGTATGGCATCGACGGCTACATGTGTGTCCTGAGGCACAGGGACCAGTGTGTTCATGTGCTCCATAGAGTTGCAACAGGCAGTCAGCCATGTTGCGTTGAATGCAAAGTCGTCAGACGGAACGTATGCTAATCGACCGCGATTATTATGTATAATAGCGTGAAGCTTCGTTCGCCATCCAAAAAGAAGGCATTTGATAGTGGTTATTTTTTCTAGTGAGAAGAAGACAGTAAATATAGAAAAAATTTAAAAAAAAGTTATCGAAATTTGCTTTACGATGCAGCCATGCAGAGCTTGAACACGGTCAAGATACAGCAAGAAGAATCGTAGATTGTCGGTATTGAGAGCTCGAAAACAGCAGAAGTATGAAGAATGAAATAGCAGAAACGTTCATATGAAGTCAAAATGATAGCGAGGTATTAAAAATGAAGGCAGAAAAGTGGCTGAAGCGACTGGCAAAATAACAGGCAACTGGAATTATATAGGGAAGGGTATTAGTTAAGAATGTATCAGCAGATAATGACAGCCGTCTTATTCCATAACTTGGTCATGCACATCATGTTGTCGAAGAAATACCTACATTAGCGAGCTATAGAGCGAGAGCTTGGTTTCAGTAGTCGGCATTGCGTTAGTAATTATTATATATTATCCACGAAAAAAATGTATGCCTGCGACAGCAACGTGGGTCTCGGCTAAGTCTAAGCTAAATTATAGAATTTAGCACCAGCTTCGCGTACTTAATTGCAAGCGATATTGACATATTTGGGCTTCTGTAAGTGATCTCGATATGCGTCTAGTAAAATTTGTTTTTTAGTCCTCATCGTCTAGCGAAGGCCGTCGACCCGTTGTTATAGATAGTATATCTCACCATCGGTAATGATCTGGTTTGGCTCGAAGGAGAGCTCCTGCTCATTCTCACCGACGCACGCGTAAAGTGTACGTACGCGACAGCCTAAGCCCGTCTGGACGCCCTGAATAACCGGGGGTCCTAGTGGAACAGGGCCTTTTAGAGATCCTGATACTCCTGAGCTCGAACCACCCCCTGATGCGGAACTTAACGAGCCATGACTAGAGCTGAAAGTAGAAAAGTCGAATAGTCGTTGAATTGAATGAACACTGTTACATATTCAAGGTGATCCTACCCTTTTAAGAGCGTCAAGTTTTTTTTATAGAAAACACCATTTAAAAAAATTGCGAAGACCGATGCGAATGACGAGGCTTTTTTGAATCCCAGCAGAACTTACAGAACGGGCTGCGAGGAAGAGGTATTGTAATTTGGCACATTACTTCCGACACCTCCCGTACTCTGAGGCGAGGCGTAGCCCTGAGGGTTGCTGCTGCCTGACGGTGAGTCGGTCCGGTTATTCCACTGGCTAGCGACGGGGTAACTGTGGGTATGACCGACGTATTGGTGCCGCAAAGGCGCTTGCGGTACAGAACCAGTCTGTGGCACTCCATTAGCAACAGGAACTGCAGTGTAAACATCTCTGGCGTATCCATACATACCGCTCTCCTACAGTTGATAAATAAATTAAGCCTATGATAACTTCCATATTAAAAAGTGCGAATTAATCACTGGTTTGTGATTCGCTCTGAATGCCAATTGTCATTTATCGTTCATGATACCTGAACGTGATGTGGCGTTTTCTGTGGTAAATGCTGCGCTGAACCTGCCGTCGTTGGGTTCGGGCTGTTTGCACCTGCTGGACTATACCCAGCCGCATGATATTGCATAGGACTCGCACTCATCTGTTGCATTTGCTGCTGAAGTTGGTCTGACCGAAGTGGGCACCGTAACGGTGAGCCCACACCAAGCTGCATTTGCTGCTGGGGTGAAGGATGTACGCCGGAAGCCATCACACTTCCGATGGGAGCAGGTCTCGAAGGGTCTTGTCGAACGCCCTCGTAAGAATTCATCGCACCGGTCGAAGCTCCACCTCCTACATGCCCTCCAGCAGCTGCGGTAGAAGGGACTTCGCGAGCGAATATCTATTTAAAACACAATGTCAAAGCGAACATGCTACGGATATAATATACAATATGGCAAATAAATATACAACAGGGAATGACTAATGACGGATGGTAAACAGACAAATGCAATATGTGTGTGTTATGTGGAACTAGCGGCAATGGCTTGCCAGTTAAGATGAAGAAAATCGACAAAAGTATTGGTAACCCGATAAATTACCGTAAACGAAATCCGTGAAGACCTTTTCTCGACATAACCTTTTAACACAAATGCCCAGTCGCTGAATATATTCGCTATCGTTGGTAGCGCGCTGATGTAAAGGACCAATATTCCGTCTTTGCTTTCAATCAAGCTATCACTGAGAGTCAGTTCTTGCAAGTAAACCAGTTGTCTAAATATATGACTTCCGTTCTTCTAACTTAGCTCTCATAAACATTAATCAAGTAACTAACTCATGTTTTCATGGCGGATGTTCGACGGTGTTGTTTGCATTTACGTAGTAGTTCGCGTGCGTTCCACAATGAGATTCTGGTTTCCACGACCCCGAGCTATAAAGTCGTACATAGTTATGAACCTAAGCAACAATGCGCTAGTAAAACTCCTATCTTTCTTTTGGGGACAAACTGGTCTCCTACCATACCCGACGCATTTTCCAAGACGGTGGACATCATCTCCCAATCGATTTTTGATTTTTGTTTTAAATTCGCGAGCTCCAAAGTTTACAAGTCAAGCATTTTTTTTTTATACAGATGCATCATGCTGAGTGTCTATTAACGATTACAAATATGTGCAAAAAAATAGGACGTAAATTCTTTCAAAATGTTTACATTTTGGTCTAACCTCTAGACATTGGTTCGCCATATGTCAAGGATGGGCGCAGACGGTATCTAGCCAAATCAACTCAGCTCTTTTAGTCAAAATTTACCTACGGAATTAAAATTATTTATTTGTTGGTCATATTTGACTCGAATGATGGCGCCATCTTTAATTTCGTTATCTGTGAGAGCTATTTAATGAATTATCGATAAATTGTCTGACCCCATTTTCCATACTAGTACAATCTGTTATAACCTGATTAATCTAAATTTAAAATCAGACAACTTTCCCCATACATACTTTCTGAGCCCAACTCTAAGGCAAGTCCCCTGAAGCAGAAACTGTTAAGGGATTGATTTCAAGTCTTGTTTTTCTACATTATCTGATGCTGTTTGATTATCTAGCAGTCACGAACTATCTTATTAGAAAATAAAACAAAAATATTCTTCGTAGAAAGTAGAAAAACGTTTGTTTGCAACGAACTCTAATAAGAATGCTATTTTCCAATCATGACGAGAGCCGTCAGTAATGATGTTTAGAACATACCGTTCTTGGAAAGCCACCGGACTACGCAGAAAACTCGAATTTATTATAAAAAAACGGTTCCGGAAATGGACGAAGAGGATTCACAGTAGAATTATTACGCAAAAGCCACTTCGATATGCTTTTAGAATAATGTGACCATGTGGATCGGGCGTGACCATATAACCTACCACAGAGGAGTGTTCAATAAGAATCTCGATGATAATGTTGCAAAATTTGATGTCCATTATGGCAGCTACGGTCTCTTCCTCAGCCCGTAATAACGTCGGTCCAAAACACACGCCTAGATTGCTGATCGACATTAAGTTAGTTGCTTTATTATCTGAAACTCTGAAATAACGGAAGAGTTGAAACAAGTATTAATTACTCACAATCAACATAATACCGTTAATTCGAGATACACAGTACGAGACAGCGAAAGAAAAAAACGCTAAAAAAAGATGGGATATGCTAGAGACTCGTGAGACAAGACGGCGATATTATGTGTTATAATGTTAGATGCGTTACCTTTTTGAGTAACGTATTCACGCGAGACTGCCATGAACTTACTTAACAAGATGCTCGATGAGCATTTTGAGCATCCGATAATTGATAGCCGGAAGTTTTTGGACAAGCTTTTCTACTTCGTTGACCCTTTCCTGGGCATTCTCAAACTTCGCTGCTTTAATGAACTCCTGATATAAGGAGAACGTGAGAAGGGGCTCTTTGAGTAATCGAAGATAAGTCTTTAGCGATGACGCGATTGTCTTTACTTCCCATTCATTAGCGTCCATCAAATTCAGCTGATTTCCCTTTTTCTTGTCTGCAAATTGTTCTAAATTGGCCAAAAATAAACGTTTGGATATTACTTTTTAGTTCCTAAAAATGCATATCGGGGCGAAAAACCATCTAGCTGCGCTTGGTAACGTCGTCTAACCAAAAAGTCAGTACGGCGAACGTCAATCTACACTTAAAATGTATATATATAATAACGATTATATAAGTAGTGCGTTTTTCAAAATCATAATTATCTTCTATTTGTTTCCTTTTTCATTCAATCCGCATAATAGTGCGCATAACACGCTATTGCGCCTCGCGCAAATTGCACATTATATATGACGTATTTAAGCGTGTACTAACCCACAGCGAGATTGGTGAGTTTTGTCACTTTAGATGTGACTCCAGCAGTCCTATAGATTCCCTGATCATCGATGCCCCTCTTTTCAATGGCTTCGATACACAATCGAACGAATCTAATGCCGTCTTCTGTCAGAAAAACGTTGGTCTGCGCTGTATTCCCGCCCTGACCGGCGCCTCCTGCTATCGTCGGGGCCCGTGGCTCTTTGCCGTCCATAGCAGCTAGCCAAAGACGGTGGTCTTCGGCATTCAGCGCTTGGAACGTGTAGACGGTGTTGTTGCCGGACCCGCGGTCACGTGGCGTCACGTCGAAGCAGTACCGGCGATCGATGGTTTCAGACATTCGCCGCACGCACTCTGCCAGGTGCAGCGTCTCGCAATTAGTCTATACGGCGAAGGTCGCCCGTTGAGCAAACACAGATACAGTCGACGATGAAGGGCCAATGAAACACCGCCGATGAGGCAATATTAACGTAAGAACGGCAGATCGAAGAAAAGGCACGAAATTCGTGGAAAACATGATTCGAAAATATTCGCCGTACGTAGCGTTTTTCAACAAATAAATTGCGGATAGAAACATGTAAAAAGAGAGAAATAATTACTGAAGTTAGTAAATGAACACATCATATGCGTACGCATGCTAACAATAATTGCGTTATCAATCTCAGACTGGCAGTCGATATAGTCGGCAAAGCGATATTTCAAAAATTTAATACACAACCTTATACCAATAATTAAGAAAAGCGTAGACAGGCTTCTCAGAGACATTCCCCCATTACCCTGGTCTTTTCTATAATACATTACTCACGATTTTCTGGTTTCCATGCTGAGAATAGGGTATCATGGTGAACTTTCTATCCTCTTTACGATACTGGCAGAAGTGCTTGGTCCAAACGGTCCCGAGGTGCTCTGAAAAAAGGAGTGGTTTTTCTGCGCTGAGACGTGCAGTCAGTTAGTCATGCACGTACGATACAATCGAATACAGCCAGAGGCTGGCGTCCATTTGCACGTGAGCAGCTGCGAAATCTAATGGGGATAGTCTGATTAAATAATTTCCAATACATGCTCTTTGTTTTCTAACACCGGCAATGGCAAAATTTCCTCTGAGCAGATCTCAGCGTCATTTTTTTGTGAAGGACTTGCTGACTCTCTGGGTTACTAGCAGAAGGATATAGTTTCAAACAGCAGATGTCATTAAATATCCTGTTTCGCTTCCGCTATACATTATGGAAGGTGTAAAAATGAGTCGTAAAAAGCTGATAAGATGGCATAATCGGCTTACTTTTAGGTAGGATTAAACCCATACGTTGTATTATAAACACATCACTAGACTCGGCAAATACCTTCTATTCTATATATTTTAAAACATACAATATATATTTTAAAAAGCGATGTACCCGAAAAGGATAATAACCTGACTGTAAGCCTAGTCAACTATACCGTGCATCAACCATATTCCGAGTACCGTACTAACGGCCCAGTTTTCAATTTGCTCATCGGTTACGGGTTATTTCAAACCAGAAACATATTGAATGAATAAATGAGGTGAGTTGAAATAAAAAGATGCCGACATGCCTATTCGAGAGTACACATGCATATACCCGTACTGAAGTGAGGGTGTAGGAGTACTATCTTCGTTAAATAGGGACCGTAATGTATGTTATCGCCATTGCGAACTCTCTGTTTGTTGTTGAAATCAGGGAAGCACAAGGCTAAATTATATGCAGGAGAAAATATGGCAGTAGGAAAAATTAACGTTTTCAGGTATGAAACGTGTTTCATATCTAAGTTTTCTCAAAGAAAACTCAGCATTCATATAAGCACACAATCAAGAACTATTCTAATTGAGTACTCTCCAACAATACCAACTCTAACACAACATATGGACCTGTTGACGCTACCGAAACGCCCACTAGGCACACCCATCACAAATCTTTCCTGCACAGCTAGCTATTATTCATGGAAGCTCGGTGGAAGAAGAGCGGAAGAACACTTCCTGATATCAACTAGAACATTAGAGCTAACCTTACGGCACAGTTCGTAAAGCAAGCTCCTTGTCAGTTATTAGCCTAGTGTTTTAAACGCTATGCAAAAATTTTAAAGAATGTCCTTTACGCAAGTACGTGTCTTTGCATTCGATATCCATTTGCAATACGTATAAGCCCGAGTCGTGACAGAAGCATCACCGACACTTTGAAAAATTGAATCAAACTACCATTGCAACGGCACGATGTATTTTTATTGGTGTCATCGTAGTAGTAGGGAACAGCCGCAGATGCAGCGATGTTATTACAAATTGACAGCCATCGACATCATATCTGTTGCAAATTGGCATATCATGCAATTACCACGATAATTTACTATAAAACACATATCATTACGATAGTGCTAATAGTACTTAGTGAACAAGATTCCCAAAAAACAACTGCAGCATGCTCGTTCTGGCAGATGGAAGCACCAACCCCTAGCGGAACTTAACCAAACAAACGATACTTACTCTTCTCTAAAAGATACAGGTAACCTTCACGCGTGTACATGCGATTTAGGGATCCGGGATCTTGCCTCTACGGGTGCGGACCGGGAAGGCAACGAAGATTATTTGCAGACGAAAAGAAAAATGGGACGAAAGTCAATCACAATAGAACGCAGAGATGATAACAGAACGATTGATCTTAACAGAACGGCGTCAAGAAGTGGGCAATCAGAACTATTAAATGATACGTTATTTTTGTTTTCTCTTTTTCCGGAACTGCGCAAACAAACTGGCTTGCTAGCTACTGTTCCATTATTGGAATTGAATCAAAATTATTCTTAATTCCTTTTACTACTGATTACTCAGCCTGCACAAGGAGTCGCTTTGGTATATCTTCTCGTGCCTAAATATAACACAATTAATTACTCGGGTTCTTAACGACATATCCACTTGAAGTCACACTACTAAAAACCTTACTACATGAAGCTGTTCAATAACTCATGTCCTTTTTTACCCCTCGGGCTTTTTTTTTTAACTGTTTCCTCTGTTAATAGTCACGTGTTATATTCTGTTAGAAAGCTTTATAAGGATCGTTACGACGCTTTGTAGGTGAAGAAATGGCTCTCCAACGGTAGTAGCAACATGGGAAGCGATAAATCTAGAACCGGCGATTACTTAGATTGTGATATAACGATAGCTAAATAGAACGCATTTGATTCACAACTTAAAAAAGCGATTTCTTCATTACCAATTATTAAAGATCACTGAAGTCGTACATACGTAAATTTATCAGCAACACAAATCATGCTAGTCAAAAAAACAGATCAAATCATTTGTCTTCACTGAATTTTGCATTAACTAGGTACTGTGTGCAATGCAACGTGCCTGAGTAGGCGTGTCTGCATTCAAAGCGACATTAGGGTTTTCGTGAGGTTATTTCAGGTGGAATTAAATATTTTTACGGCAACGGCCAAGGATACGCAGTTCTAATTGGGGTATAATATATATACGTACGTATATATATTATGCCTATATAATATACGTAAAGACATATGCCAACATGATTATTGTGTTTCGATATTGCTGGCATTGTACCAGTGTACTGCTTCGACCAGACTACTCCATAGCCATGTTTTATAGATAATCGGCGAATATTAGATTAATATGAAAAGCTAACATGTGGCGTATTTAACTAAAATAAATATGAAACGGCAGCATCCTGTTGAGAACGTTACCTCCGACAACATTTTCTTCATGAGATTTTCAGCTTGCGAGTTAGTTATCTCTAAGCTTTCTCTAGTTTTTTGCAGCTTTCGCTGAAGATCAAGGTTGAATGAGGTGAACTCATTGGAAACCTCGTGACCCTGATGATAAAATGTTAACCAGCCATACATGAATCGAAGGATCTGCAGCAAAAAACAAGAACAAGCAAAATATATTATGTTTAAATCGAACAACACAGGAAAATAAGTCTTGGTCTTGCAGCAGCTAGTACTGTAGACGCAGATCTTCAGCAAGCAGACGCTCTTCGCTCTTTATACACAGTTGCATCTATTCTACACGTCATATAAAGTTGCAAAGATCTTTATTTGGTTTGTATAGAAGATATGGTGGAATGGAACCCTCGGAAAGGTACAGGAAACACGTTTAAATCGCATTTTAGAAGGGAAATCTTTTTATTAATTGAACATTTTAGAGCACCTAACTAGTCGCAATCAGTATAGACATAGCGAAAAATATATACTTTAGAGCCAAAGCCAAATTGCTAACTTATAACGAGTTTCATTGCATAAACCCTATCCTTAACGAGGACCTTCCAAGCTCAATCGTAACGTAATATCTGCACACTCACTCTACGATCACCTTATCGATCGTTAAAATAATAATGACTTACTGTTTCCACAAACTCTGTCTTTTTTCCTTCTTGAACCCGTTGCAAATGAAGCACGTATTCCAAGGAAATCTTGAATAAGCTGAGCTGGGCTGAGCCCACTTCCTGATCCGTCTGAAAAGGCGGCAGAAGATCAAGAGTCACGCACGAATCAGGCAAGGTACACAGTAATGCTCACTATACAGGATACACAACGAGTAAGTGCGTATACTATCGAATGATTTTACTACCACTGAAATCATTCCACTGCAGATAGTCCATTCTGGCTCTTTCTGCTAAAAACGCGCACCCCACGTTGACGTTAATGGTATTAAACTTAATCCATGAGTGTATGTATCCTATCGATAGACACCCAAACAGACAGCCTTATACTTACATTAGTAAACTGGTAATGCGATTTTCGATTACTATGTATCTCGTAGGAGAGAACTCCGACTTCACATGCCTAAATCTTCTGTATAGAGGACACATTAAGAATTAGGATCGTGTCGACAATGGTATTATCGCACGAAAAATCCCGTATTCGTCATTGTTTAACATCACAATCATTACCGTTCGGTTGTATTTGTTTAGTATTGCGCTTTGCGTATTGAATGATATACACGTTTTACCGCTACAGCCCTTGCCGTCGTCAACATGGATCCTGCTTGCTAGCCGTTAGACCCTGTGCCGCTTTTGCGGCAACGATAACATCGATCATTTGACGTCATTGTTATCTACAATGGGAAAACAATTCACGATGGTCAATATCTCGTTTCAGTAGAGCTTGACACCTATCTTAGGAGGAGCTCGTATTTTGTAATGGCATTCACAAACGAGTTGATCTATTTACTAGTTGATAATCAACGAAGAGAAGCTGGATGGTGATTAAGGGAATTGAAGTTGTGGACCTTGACGAGCGCAGCGCAGCGCAGCGCAAACCAGTAGATCGCTTCAGGCAGCCGCCATGTTTGTTTTTATTTGCCCTCTTCAGCTTATTGCCCCTTTGTCTGTTCCATTCTCCGATCCCCACCAAACCTAAGGCTCTTTGCCCATAAGCAGATGCCCCATCTCCGTTCGCTTTATACGTTCCGCCACTGACGAAACCTCTGCCGTTCACATTATATATAACGAGGAAAAAACAGTACTTTTCGCAAGAAACACGGCTCTCGTGTACAATAGTTACAAACTATTAGTTAGCTAACTAGGAAACTTCACATGCGCTTCACAACAACGACGGTACTGTAAAACGCTATTGTAACTGAACGTAAATCGAAAACCCATCTGAGAAGCCGGTTAGAAGCCGGTCAGTCGTCTCTCAATATAGACATAGGCTTAAAGTTGTGCTGAGGGCGTGTCAAACAGACATAAAATTAGGCTTGTCATTGTAACTTCTTCAAATATTTGTTTCCTGCAACAAGCAACTATATATTCAACTATATATTTAGCAGGTTATGTACATAAAACCATTCTAGCAGCTTTGCATTTTTTCATTCGTCTGCTTATCAGAGACTATAGGAGAGAATGCCACATAAGCTGTCTACTTAGGGTCGCACCTTACCCAAGAACCTCCCACTTTTGCTGGTGGCGCTCCCTTGTGAGGCTCGGAAGCATTAACGCTGTTGGAGTAACTCGAGAAAGAAGAACGACGGCCTCAGCCATACTCCGATCAAAAGCGCCACCGCAGGCCAAGACCTATGTAGATGTAATAGACTCAAATAAACCATTCAGTAACTAATGACAGAAATAATAACAGAGATAATAATGTGCAAAGGTTTAACCAAAATGGAACACGAATATACCTCTCATATCGCAGGAAATTAGGGAGACTTCCACAGTGTTGATCGGCAACCACACACAAACAAATATAGAAACAAACTTCAAAATTTAACGAAATATACGCTTAGAGTCCGTTTACAACGAAAATAAAGGTACGTAAATATACGTAAGTTGATTTTGACGTCCAATATTTGTGATGAGCTCATTTTGCTACCTGTAGACGACAACCATAGATCACCACTTAGAAACATATCAAAGGAATTTGACTCAAAAAAGCCTGCTGCTAGCTGTGGGTCGAAACCTCGCGCGCTAAACCGTTCCCTCAAGCAGCAAAAAGCACCGACCTATCGTGTGGCATTTTATTAAAAAACACATGTTATCGGTCAGTACGCAGTTTCTACGATATGTGCGTGTTATAGAACTGCTCTGAAGTGGGGTTTTTAAATTATCATAGGAGCTGATCGTTGTGCACTTACATTCTTCATGCAGAAATAACCTACAAAGGCCGACCAGTTTACCCGCGACAAGTACTGGCTGGTCTTCATGGCTACATAAGCACTCTGGCATATCCATTAAATTGTCCCGAGTGGACACATATTCAATAAGCGTCCGTAGACATGTATTCAATATGCGTCTGCGAGTGCCACCATCAAGCCGCGTATTCTAGAGGGGTACGCAGCTTCGGCAGCCTATCCAATATTAACAAAAATCTTATAAAACGAAATATATTCTAATAGCTGAGAAAGCTTTAGGCGCTTCGCGCAGCCTTCAGGCGAACTATAAACTAATGTACCGCTCATTTATCTCATAGGACTGAAATAGGTGGTATGGAAAATTCTTGTTACGCGTAGAGTACGCGAGGCTCCATTGGAGTCAACTTTTTAATTATTTCAATAGATCGCACGGCTTCCCTACCGGGTTATATAAACCAAGACCCGGAAGAGATTTAGACAAGAGGACACGTGTAGTGCTTAAGAGTGCTCAGATTTCGAGTTCATGTGCCACAGTCTAGTATGTCGATTCAGGTTCTGCCTCCGTCAAGGCAAAGGTTAGCCTATCGCTGCGAATAAACGACGTGTTTTTGCGGTTCTTAATGGAAACAAAGGCAAGTGAGCATTAAAAACTTACATATGTTTGTCGTAACATTTGAGTCCATATTTTACATTGCAATCACTATAGTAGTCGGAACATTCGAACATTCATCGCAGAGTGGTAGCAAAATTTTCATATAACAAATAAGAACAAAAATATTTGAGTGTTATGTCAAAAACAGCTGTTCGAGATCGGCAGGCTGGCCCTTGACGCAGCCGAATTGTATTTTCTCCTTGCTATCTCTACTAGCTAATATAATACAATATATATATATATATATATATATATATATTATATCTAACTAAGAATCTCGTGTAGATACATTGCCATTGACCCAGCTTCGGGGCTCCAGTTTTTATAACAATATCGGCGTGACGTAATTACTACCGATTTCCCAACAAACTGTTAGCGAACTATAAAAAGGTAGAACTTTTTTTGGTCTTTGCGGCGTTCGGTCCTAGAAAGATGCTGGTGTAAAGAGAATCAGGCAAATTTAGGCTCATATCGTTTATCATTACTTAAACGTTAGGCGATCGCTTGTTTAGTTGTAAACAAATCAAGCTATCTAACTCGGCCAGCTTAAGATCGTACTTCACGTGTTAGAGTTTCACAAAGTTTCTAGTTCGCCAGGTGGTTTTAACTTCATATCACCTGTTAGTGGCAAAATGGCGCCAAAATAAAGTAACACATTATTTCACTATAAAGTTGAATGTAAAATAGACTTTTTGGCGTTCTCGGTGGTGTGGCCGGGTCCAATGAAAACAATGAACGATTAATTGAACAGAGGATTTTGTTTTTTCAGCATACATACGTCTGTTGTGTATCATAAAGATATTTGTTCAATGAATGGCTTTGATACCCTCAAAAAGCAATTAGGTATGATAATTATGTTTCTACGGACAATAACTACGAGACTCAGTTGGAGTTACCTTCATTCGAATCAGTTATAGGCCAACGAACGCCTATACAAAGTTGTTAGACCGACCATGTCATCTGTGCAGTAGTCTACTCAGATGGATCCTTCCCAGCAGCTCTCAATAGTATTCTCGTTATTGTTCATTCGTACTCTTTCCACTTCTACGCCTTTTATTACGTAAATGTTTGTTGTCTGATCAAGCTAGCTCTGACTAACTGCGCACTTCGTGGCTATATCGACTTAGAACCATGAATCTGACATTCAGGAGCGTGTCGATAGCTCTTCCTGTGAAACTCCCCAGAGCTGTTCATGCTTCTGTCATGAACGCTACTGTTAGATTAGTTGATATTCTACACGGGAGTCAAGGACGCATCGCTGCGAGTTCGTTTCTGCGTTTTGCGATTCTCTTGCACTTCAACTGCGATCCAACGCTGGTTCAAAACCTTCATGCGACTTATAGGCAGCAATATATGACCAAAGTTATTGGATATAATGGTTTGACTAGAAGCGATCATAGATAAAAGAAGTGTCAACAACTTCCGTGGTTTGTTGAGAAGTAATGAAAATTTACATTACGCACTTCGCCATGTTTATTATCAAAGAGGTTCATGATTTGGCACAATGTTACCAACGCTGACCCATCGTAATAAGCGTGATTTAGTTACTTTGTGGACCGTCACGCCTGTGACACCATCTTTTTTTTTCTACAGCGTACCTAGCTAACTACCGATGTACTGTTATTAGTAACAACGCTACGTTTCAGTTTCATACTATATCAATTTTTCGTCGAGTTCCTATGTAATGGCCGGCCTCACTCAATTAACTTTGACCTTTTGATATACCGTTGATTAAAAGAAGTGTGTAACTCAAACGATTATATCTAAAGCTAGGGCTAACGCAGAATGAAAGATTAGGATAAGATGTAAAGGTTCCCTCGACAAGCTTTTGGCCCAAGGCACTTGGATTGACATACGATTGTCCGCCCTCGAATACGGAAATGAAATCATAGTAGCACACCAATATACCAGTACCCTAGATAGTGTCTTACATAGAACCCTAAAACAGAATTTGCCCCTCCAGCTACATAGGTCATTTTCTGTGTTGACTCTAGGAACATTTGTGCGTTTCGTAAATTCTATTACGTCTCATTTATGATTATTTACGACTCAATCAATCCTTAATAAATAGATCAATTAGCTGAGCCCGAAAGATCCAACCGAGCTCGATTACGTGCAGTAAACATTGTTAGTTCTTTACGTAGAGTCTAACAGAAAAAGAAGTACTGGCCTCTTTTGGATCACTGTCGTCTACCAATGATTTCACAATTTTGCGACGTTAAAAAGTTATTCTAACTACTAGTCATGTTTTTCTTTGACAAATACGCTTAAAATTCATTATGACTACTATACGAGTGTAACTTACTTTTACCAAGGTTAATACTGAAGTATGAAAGATTTACCTCTCGAGGTTCACTCTTTTTGACGGACTGCGCGAGACTCTTCTCCAGAACGCTGCAGTATTTCGCCGTCTCCTTCTCGAAGCGTTTTCGTTTTTCTTTTGCTTCTCCGATCCGCTCTTTCCGAAACCGGTCAATGGGCTCAATAAGCGTAAACGCGTTCAACAACTGCATACATAAGAGAAATCCAATACGAATACACTTAAGCGCCGGTTAATAACAGTAGTTTGACTGGATGACTAAATAAAAATATCGCAGAGCTTCATTTACAAAACGGACCGCAATGAAGCGACCGGAGAGAGCACCCTTTGAAACGCACGCAAGCATTTTATTAACAAAAACAAACTCTAGCCTACAAATAGGTATTTTATACTATACATACGATATGTAATACACTAGTTTATCGATACACAACATCTTATATAATAGCGGTTAGTTTAGTTGACTTCTAACACCATGCAACGAGATTTGTCACTGAAAATACACCACTCTACGCTTATGATTACATGGCACAGTAACCATCCGAATACTGTTATATATATTTGAAGATAGTATCCTTTTTAAATACAGAGGGACAGTCAAGTGATCCGTTTACAATCTTCCACACTATTCTGTCTGTTTCGAATTCTATGTCCACCATTGCCATACTTAGAACTTGCTTTTGCCCCGGGCTCGAACCTAGATCACAACGAGTCCCTAAGATTAGCAGGCAAATACGTTACCCATTAAGCTATCATGGCGGTGCTGTCTAATTAATGTTGTTCTACCCTAAAAACATTAAATAATACCGAATCTTTGGAATACTGACGACGTGTAGTATTTTCAAGATGAAATTTCAGGTTTCCCAATCGACCTTTATGCTGCAAATATCCTAAAGGTGTAGGAATAGGAAAATCTAGACGGATCAACACTCAAAGGGGCAAAAAAGAGGTTATAATTGTTGCAAAAAAAAAAAATAAAATGCTATAATCCACATAAATTATCAAGGCCTTTTTTAAAGTCAACTCTGCTTATTAACTGGCAGACGTGGAACTTATTGAAGCCTCAACTATCTCGCGTGGCACCTCCTTGACCTTCGCAGTCCCGTATACGACTAAGAGTCCATCTCAACATCACGCGTCCAGAATTCGTTATATCTGTCAAGTTAGTATTTAGGATTTCCTCGTTCCATTTACTTTGCAATCCTGCCCGAGTTAGAAACATGACGGGGGAATGACGAAGTTATGATTTATTAGAGTAAACGTTGCTATAGAACGCTTGAATCAGTCTGGAATCCTTGTTACTTGTTAATTAAAACTATTATTGTTCTAATTGAACGAGCCTTAGATTGATTCTTAACGAACCCCTGGGATTCGCGTAATTTATCTCATTCCTAACATAAACTATAATAAATATACACTATCAGTTATTTCATTACAACAATCCTGCTTCACCTAACCCCTCACATTTATTTTGTCAGGCAGCTCAACTGGTCCTAGATAGGGAATAGGGTTGTTCAACTTTTGAAGGACATACATGAACGAATAGGCCTTCGGCTAACCTTCAGCAGATGTTGCTATTAATAGTATCAACTAACGCATTTATTTTGTTCCTTTTTATTTTCCTTGTTATTTTGTAGAATGTTATAACAAAGCTTAATTTTTTTCTGATAAAAAATAATTATGATTTTATATATATATATATATATATTAAGATTGAATCTCGAAGCGTTAGGAAAGCTTAAGGTTTCCTTCGTCTTTTTTAATGAAGATCTTATAATAATTTTATGTATCAGTTGATTCACCAAGTAAGGATTTTTTTCAATTTTCATTTCTCAACAAATAGCTATGCACTTTATGTTGAATGAAACCATGAAGATTTCATATTTCTCAATTGGTATATTGATTTTGTTTCTAAGCTTATTAAGTCTGCCATAATGCAAAACGTCTGAGCTACGTCGAAAACCTATAAAGGAGCTTCATATAAGTTAGAGCACGTGAGTCTGAAAATGAGGGGAGATCCATAAGTTTCACTACATTACTATAGTTTCATTGGAAACGCGTTGCCTGCTAGCCCAGAGTGTTATGTACGACAGCCGAGTATGTATGTTCATTTAAGAACTAACTTCTGATTGCATTTGAAACACTGGGCCCTTTTAAGGTATAAAACAGCCCGTTTCCCCCGAGACCTCACCAAGCACATTACGAATATTACTGCGCCGCAATGAAGAATAGCATCAATTTATCGCCGACATTATCGCAGGCATGCTATAATTGGTGGGACGGAACAACGGTACTATGTACACCGCTATATCTCAGACTTGTAATTTTCTCCGTATTAAAATACCATAAAACTATCGATCTGTACAATAAAGTTGTGCCTAGCCCATAAGTGCGCACCAACTTACTTCTTGTGTTGTGTTTAATCGCGCATAGTCAACTTAGCCACAATAAATTACCTTCGATCAATGACGAATTTTATCATATGTATGCGCCTGTGAAATTTATGACGAAAAAAAAGAACTTCTGTTTGACTGAACTGTTCGCTGCTTAATTCGCGATGTCACGGATTAGGGAAGTTCGTACTAACAGCGTTAGGTATGGGCAAGACAATCTGAGATTCTCATTTAGCTAGCGGACTCCTGTCCAACGATAGAAAAGATAAGTGAAATATGGCTAAATTTAATGGTTAGTACTGAAATACAACTATGCTTTATAGAGGTCGTAAAACAGATCATATATGCCATAGCTGAACGTACAAACAGGACTTAAACAAAGGTTTGACAGACTGTCACGCGATGCTGAAGGCTGTGGTTTTCTATCGACCTATGGATTGCTTAAGGATAGTACAATTTTAACAGGTGTTGTAACCTACGTTCGAATATCATTTTCAGATTATTTCTTTTTTTAGCTTTCAGATTCTGCGGACAATATTCCGAGTTTATGACATATCTTTTGCTTTACCTTTTTTTTGTTTTTTTTTTTTTTAGCTAAGACATTTTTTGCAAGATACAACTAGAAAAACAGCTGCTAAACCAGCTGAAGAGTTCCTTATACGGAAATCATACATCTTAGAAATACAAAATGCTAAATTTGAAAAAAAACATCAATTTCTTTTAAACGCACAGCTATAAAACATTATAAAATCAGATATGTTGTATAGTTTATCATTGGATGTATTCAATCTGTCCTGGACATTTCTGTTGTTCTATATTATTAATAGTAAAGATAAACATGCTGAACAGTATCGTTTTTAGCCAGTAGATAGAACATCGTTGAAACGCTTTCGATTAGGTCTGCCTGTTTTGTTCGATCTTGATCGTTTAGCGGAATCACTACGTCGAATCATTCGAATTAGCTTAAAGAATTCATTGCTTCACTTATTTATCTTGCCTGATAAAAATGGAGTCTATATTCCTGTGTCTCTCGGTGTGGAAAATGAGAAAAATCGAAAACTTCTGTGCGACCCCTCGTGCGAAAAAAAGGGTATCAGCGTTCTCTAACATTTAATTCGGTGATAGTAGTACTGGTTGATACAGCTCAACAGGGTACGAATGGCCTACGTAACAGTGTCACCAGCGAAAGGCACTAATAGAAAAAACAGCAAAGGCAATTGCTATAGACAATGAGCAGGCCTCAACTCGCTTTGAGCAGTTAAGTAGCTAAGCCGATTGTACCCCCCAGGCGGTTGGAACGCCCAAATCAGATGCGCAAACACATGAGCTAGCCGTGATTGGACTAACGCCAGCGTCACCATCAATATGAACATCGACGTCATAATTGTCAACAACTTCAACCGCTGCTGTTAAAGGAAGACTGCCTTCTCTCTCTGCTACTGTTACTACTTCTGCTAGGGGGGCATACATTCAATGTGCCCCACGACGTTACAGTTCTTATAAGCCGACTGAATATGCTTATACTTCTCTATATCGTCATTGGTAATCGATCAGAGTAACTGCTGACGATGGCGAAGATGGCGCTGACGGTTGTTTGCGACGGCTAATGTAATCATAAACTGATGGTAATCGTATACACGATCTTCGAGCGTATCAGATGGTCGAAGTATCGATGCCGATCTAATACTAACGGCCGCAACCTCGACACGAAGAAGAAAAAAAGCAAGTAAATTGAAATATACATAGACGTCTGAAAAGGCCTGATGCGAAGATGCGCATGCATTATCTATGTTACATTACGGCCGATGCGCGGGGATTAGTGTAGCTTCACAACATCCATTTGATTATTATCTGGTCACAAATAGCTAACCACTGTACAATGATGTGGACTTCAGTATACTTGTTGTAGCGGTAATACTATTGATCAATCGTGATAGTGGGATATGTTATCAATAATATGATTGTGTTTATATCGCGCACAGAAACTAGTTGACGTTGACAAAGGATTTTCGATTTTTTTTCCTTGGGGCCTTTTTGTTAACTATGCGATCAGGTGGTCACCCATGAGAGGTTTTCAGTTCTGTAAATCATTGTTTACCATTCTATCTCGTTCATCTTCAATTGCATTTAGCAGCCTGCTAAACTCTTTCAGGGAGTTGCCGATTACAATCTCATCGTCCGTTTGACTTGTTCCTATCGTCTCGAATCGAAATTCTGAAAATGTTTTGGCCAGGTTCCGCTGTGCCCGGGATAGATCTGAAAAAGCAATCGTATAGGCGTTAATTAATTAATCGCTAAAATTAAACACCGTCTTCGGTCCATTAGAATTACTCAGAGAAGTATGCCTATAGAATTTCTATCCATTACGGTAATTATACGTGACTAGAAGATTTTAATTTCATCATTGATGAACAAGCGGTTTACAGCGACCAAATAACTTGCAGCACGAAGCAAGTCACCTTTTTCGCTACTTTTGGGTCTATAAACCTATTTTGACTAACTGGAGAGCAACTGTAAGCTTATATGTAAACATATATGCGAGTTAATGTTTAAGTTAGCTAGCTTATACGTCCGGGTCACGAACGCGTTCATTTAAACGTTATTTGAATACTTTCGTTATTTCATCAGACATCTAGTGTGACACATATGCCATTTTCGGTACGGGCACTGTGTTACGTGATGATATATAACAAAAAAAAAGAGCGATGTCGACTACTAACGCTTTACTACGTATCATTAAGGTCAAAAAAAGGCAAATAATCACCTCCGTTTAACTTGTCCAAAATATGAGCCAATTACAAACCTTCTGTTTGGTTGACTTTGTAACTGCGAAATGTAAGCTGCTTTTCTTGGGTAGACGGACCGATAGCGTTCCCGTTATGGTAAGATCTTATTCATCGCTTATGGCATCCTACGCTCATACGCGCTAATATAAACAAACGGAGTTACCCGAAATATTAGCTTTGGCGGTAGCGAAGCGAGTCGTTCGATCGATACTAGCAATATTTCCTACTAATACCTATATTTAAAAACATCACAGTTCCTCTAACAACGATAGATTTTCGTCAGTTATTTTCCCATTGCTTGCCTTTAACTCTGCCATAAAGAAGATTGGAACAAAACATAATAACTAATTATAGAGCATCACGTGATTTTATACAACTCATGGAAAAGTATGAGGTCAGAACGTTACTTTGGAGCTAAAATCGTTGCTTCGAATGAGACGTCCTTACTCGAATAGCTTTTATAGTGGCGCTCCCATTAATTGTGCGGGTATCGTTTCACAAAATAAAATCATGTGTCCTATACTTAGTTCTTGGGTTAGCTCAGTAGTCACCGTGTACCCCACAGTGACACGAATTTATTATAAACAACTGGGCATCATCTTACAAGCATGATCGTTCCCAAACAACACCCGCTACCCCCGACGCGCTTCGATATTATCGGTTGTCACCACGGGTAGTGTAGCCGTTATTTCACCGTTAGCATCGTCCGATTCCGATGTCAGCGATTTAACGACAACGACTCAGCCTCGCTACAGTAACCATAACGATGGCCTCACTTAATATTATTGGCCTTCACGGCTGACGTTGCCTACATGTACCATCTTTACATTTGACTATGTGCTGTGTGTCCGTCCGTCTGTCTGTCTACGTACGTGTTTATGTACCGTAGCACGCTGACTTTAAGATAGATTCATCGTCGTTTGCTCTCAACGGATGAGTGGAAGCAAGTAATATCTGCCTCTTACGCTGCTAAAGCTAGTCCGTGTGGCGTCACGTTGTCGACGTTACGTCTGGCTGCCGGGCTGCTCTGCGACACAACAGCATCAGTAGGAAGCATTTCTCGCGCGTACACACAGGACAATTGGCAACAATTTCACCAGTGTCAGAACTGCCATGCCAGGGCAGAGTCATCGACATATCCCACGCTAACGTCAGGCGGCGTCAATGACGAAGATAACGTTGATGAGAAATACATCGGGCTGAATAGCTCCTCCACGGGCTTCCGTCTACCGTTCGCTTCTATAGCGGACGCTTGAATCGGCGAAATCTCTCCCACGCGACAGGACGATATCATACCCATTGGCGAAAATAGCTGGCAACTATTCGTATATTAACATACGAATATCTAACTGGTGAAGAAGCGCGAACAATATTGTCCTTAGCTTTACACATCATTACTATTATTCAAATTTCAGCCGCCACGCAGACGAAACATTCACGTCGCGACAGCGTTCCAAGCATCCTACTCTATATAATATATATATATACATATAT